ACATTCACTCAAAAACTGTTTATTTATTTCATTATCTTTTCGGTTTTTTACCTGAAGCTGTGTACTTGGAGTGACATTTATGTAATCAGACTGATGGCATAAAACCGTATATTTCAAAATTATTCTAAAACTCTGCCATCCCTTTCAAAGTACCCCCTTTGGGTAGCGGTTTTCCATCCTTCGTAACATTTCTGGAACGCTTCGACTGGGATGTCCGCGAGTATCCTCGTCACGGCCGCCTGGATGTCCTCAATTGACTCAAAATGGGTACCTTTGACCACCGATTTTTTTCTAGGGAACATATCGGGCGAATAAAGCGGTTGTTGTAACACGGCGACCCCTTTAGAAGCCAAATACTGGGACATGCTGAGGGCGGTTTGATGAGGCGCCTTGTCGTGATGAAGGATCCACTTACGAGCGATGTCTGGGCGCAGCCTGTTGGCTCGTTTGCGCAATTTTTCGAGTACTTGGCGATAGTAAACTTTATTCAGGGTTTACCCCGATGGAAGAAATTCTTTTTGGACGATTCCACGGCTATCAAAAAAGGCAATAACCATCGGTTTTCCATTTTCGTGACGAGCACCCACGAACACACATTTACTCAACACGACACAGCATGCGAACTAAATAAGCTAGAGCGATGGCGAATATATCAATGGGGAGTAGAAGAATGCCGGGAGAAGGGAAAGGTTTCAAGGTCGCAGGGTTACCACAACCACGGCAATGTAATCAGTCTCATTACATAATTGTCCCACCTCGTATGTACATGCATGCCCATTTAGAGAAAGGGATAGACATTTCCTTTACTATGTTTCCAATATCCGCTTAAGTGAGACCGTTATAATGATTACAGGATAACGCTAGAAAATAAAATACAATAAATAGGAGACTTAACCCAACGGCTTGTATTCAAATTAACCCTGTAACATCTTAATGTATGAACTTAAGCTAATAGAGGTACGAAATAGGTGAACCTGCTTCAATTCGACCATACTAACAATTAGATCACCTGATTTTAAGTGATTTTATTTTCTGTGCTTTTCCCTATTCAAGGTCGTATATTCGCAACAGCCCAGACAACTTTTTATGCTATTTTGGATTGTAAAAAACCTTACACGTATTGGCTCATTGCGCAAAACTCTACTACAGATTCGCTACCTGATGTTTGTTGTTGATCAGTTGTTCACTAAGCGAATCTACGACTTTATATCGTTGTTTAATACCGAAAACCATTACGCTCGGATATCAAATTATCCCAATTAATATTTCGCTCGTCATCACCTAACTTGGCTATCATTGGCCCCAGACTCCCATTAGCCCTTTCTACCTGACCATTCCATAAAAACCACTAAGCATTTTAAACAATTTCGAATATGATATACCATATTTATACGGCTCAAAGCGTTAACTTCCATACGTGTGCCAGATAGATGTATGTTCTTACAAATAATCGAAATTCTGAAGCTCTAATGCCCATCCAGAAATTCTAGTATTCAACTCTTTTTTGTTCAATATCATTGTTAAAGAATTTCATTCGATGAACATTTAAAATTTCAGTACTTGGAGATATACTCGGAATCGTTGCAGTCTCTAAACTATAGATAATGTTTCAAATTTTAAACTCTTCTACTTCGATTCCACCTCAATAGTACGCTGTGAAAAATAAAATATGGATGCCATTCCTTATCGACTTTATAGCCTATTTCTACCAAGCACTTAAATGCATTTAAGCCTCTGTTAAGTGAATGAAATGTCAAACGTTTCCACCGAAAGTGAGTTAACTCAAACAGCTAATTTTTGTTTACATTTGCAGTTTGCAAAATTTGTCACAACTATTAAAATCATGAATTCAAGAGACCACATTCATTTTATCTGGCTATTTATGCAATCTTAAGACTTGCAAGTGCTGTTTTGCAAGTGCAAATTATTGCTGCACGGACAAACGCTGCTGAAACGAAAATGCTTTCTTGCATGTTTTTAATTTCACTTTTGCCTGTTTTTTCCTCAAATTATTTATTTTGCGCAATCAGCTGATAGCTGCCACAGCCACGCATATTTTTATATTGAGGAGTATATTTTTATGTTGAGGGGATCGCTTGATATTTCACAATTGTTTTTTTTTTTTTTTTTTTTTTTTTTTTTTTGAAGGAGGAGAAGCATTCTCTTCACCAATTACTTAATATATGCATTTATGTTAAAACTAATGAAAAGAAATATTTTTTGCCTCGTCCCTTATTAAATCCGAAAACACACGACTCAAGCAAGACTCTGAAATGTTTACATTAGTAGTGACAACATCGACTGTTAACATAACAGTTTTTGCATTCAATTAAAGTCTGGTGGAAATAGTCTATAACGTTAATATTTCCTAATGTTTCAACCAAAACGATAGAGTTTCTTCAAATAACAACAAATTTATCATTACGATGGTTGCTTGCTCTACTAAGGACGTGTAGTTAAGAATGTGAATACAGAGGTAAAAGCTATAAAATCTTAATCACATATTCAACAGACACCTGTAATGGATTTAAAATATTATAAATGATATTAAATACAAGCTAGGCGGAGAAATACATGTAAATACTTCAAGCTCACAATGCTATCAAGCACAATTGCTATTGCTCCCTTATTTAGAAATTTGGATTAAAACTGTTATCTGCTTTTGTTCATTAGCATTAAGGAGATGGAATGCTCAGAAGCGGTTTAGATTTAACTATAGGTCCCTTCGTTTGTTGCAAAAAACATCACTCATCGTTTCTGCGTCTATAAAGCGCTAAATATAATAACAAAAAATGACGCTATCAATAAGATTTCGAAATTGAATATTTTAAAATAGCTATTTCTAAACTATGATCTACTTATTTTGAATCTCTTTATTTCATAATAATGATGAACTTAAATTGCTGATCGACATACTTTGTTTAAAGACACTACATACATACGTACATCAATTCAATAAAAATCTACACAACACACCCGACAGAGTGATAACTCCAAGCGAAAGTGTGTTGCTGCTATTCAACATTGCAACATCGGACGGAGATAGAAGGAATTGAGTACTCATAATTTTGTTCTATCGACATATGTATGTACGAGTATGTGAATATAACTATAGAGCTATTGTTATCATTGTATTTAAGCATAATTTTATACACATACCCAGTGGTAGGTTTCCAAGTAGGGAAGCGTCCATAAACTATGATCGGTCAAAATGAGCAAAATTTTGACATTTATCTCAGAACTTCTTTCTATAATTCTAAATTTATTTGTGTATCGCACTGCTGGATACCTGGGTATCCACAGCGCTACTTGGCAGACATAAGTCGAAATTTGAAGAGCACAGAAAATCGAGACTACTACTTGGAAGTACTCGAATTTACACATAATACATACATATTTCGAAAACATGCCCGCCCAACCTAAGTTTGACCTTCCCAATCCATAGAAAGGGAGTCTCACGGTCTGTGTCAATGACCGTGGGATTGGTTGGTTGGTTTAAGTGGCTGTCCGGCATCGGCTCATCTAGGCCCAAGCGGTCCCATTGTGATACCACTGAGGATCCTAATGACCTCCACCCGTTTTTCGCGCGGAGTTTGCAACACTGAGCAGTCGCCGCATCTTAGTCCCCGTTATCTCGCTGGGATCTCCAAAAGTTACTGCCCTCAGAGACTTCAGCCTACTCATCCAAAGTGCGGGATTTTCGCAAAAGAAAGTGCCTTAAAATTCCCTTCAGCAACTTCTGCAGAAATCATTAGATTGTACGCTCAATCTCTTCGCGTGCCTGACCAACCAGATATTATATACACTGCAAGAAGACCTATACCATTCTGGCCACAATGTCCTGGCCACGTGTTGAGGCTTCTCCAATTTAAAGTAGCACTCTTAATGCGGCCTGGCTATCGGAAAAAATATGGATGCGATTATCACAAAGTGCCATTGATCTGAAACAATGGATCCATGAGATTAGCCTCCTAAATATCGCTTATAAGGTTCCATCGAGCTTATTATATGAAAGACTAAAGTCAACCGTCAACAAGGTGATTGGACCTTAGATAGCTGCCTTCGTGAGCGAAGAATATGGTTCTGGTACTGAACGAGGAAAAGACGAAATATCTTTTGTCATTAAACAAACACGTCACTTTTAACATAACTTCGAGGTCTTCTTTCTAGGGACCAGAATCAACACCAATAATAATGTCAGTTTTGAAATCCGGCGTAGAGTCACTCTTGTCAACAGGTGCTTGTTCGGACTGAGTAGGCAATTGAAAAGTAAAGCCCTCTCAGGTGAAACCAAAACCAAGCTCCACAAGTCTCTCATTATTGCCGTCCTACTCTATGGTGCAGAAGCGTGGACGATTCCTACATCCGATGAGGCGGCCCTATGAGTCTTCGCGGGAAAAGTTTTGCGAATGATCTATGATCCTTAGGGGCTTAGGTACGGGGAATAACGCAGACGAGTTATATGGTGAACTTGGTATAGTTCAGCGAATGAAGAGAGAGCGGCTACGCTAGGTCATGTCGTCCGTATGAATTAAGGCGCTCCAACTTTGAAAGTCTTCGATACAGTACCCAACGATGGAAGCAGAGAAAAATAAGAACCTCAACTCCGTTGAAAGGATCAGGTGGAGAGCGACTTGGTTTGACTTGGTACTACCAACTGGAGCCAAACAGCTAAGGGAAGAATCGAATTTCCTACCGTCTAACTAAGGTTGCAATTCTTTTTCATGTTCATGAAATATATACATTCGTATGCATGTATGCATGTAATTCCTGCAATCAAGAGAATGTCACTAATACGAGTACGTATAAAGTATTGTAAATATATTTATATGAATTTATGATTATCTATTTAAAACACTAGTATATATATACATATGCTTGCTCTCAATCATCAAGAAAAAATCTACAAACATACATATATTTGTATACAACTATGTAGTATTTATGTACGAGTATTTCTATATGTCCAATACATAGCACGATCAGTTTAAGAAAGGAGATATTAGTTCAGTGGAAGTTGTGCGGTCAAATCATTCAGTCGTGAACGGTTCGATTTTGAATAAAACCAAAAATGTTTATACGCTCGAAGAGTATCCCGACGCTCTTCAATGTGATCCTTGTTGTTGTAATCCTTTCATTATCCTTGTGTAGTGCACAGCGTTGGCCATACGATGATTACGATATACAAGGCGGCGAAGTTGAGACTGAGAGCGAAGGGCCTAATAATAGCAATCGTGTGCATAATGTTCCCACAGCAACAGTGATTCACCAAGTTCCCAGATCTGGGTTTCAACAAGTACGCCCAGACGAATTGGTTGTGCCAGGTTTGGGCGTTGTGCGCGGGAAAATAGGATATAAAAGCATTAAAGGAAGGCCAATCAATTCATATTTAGGCTTAAAATATGGTGTTGTGCGACCGGGTTTGGGACGTTTCCAAGTAAGCTATTCTCAAATTAATATATATATAGTTATATATATATAGATATATATATATTAAGACCAGAGAGTTTCTGGAAATTGTTTTTTTTTCATCGATATTCGCGGCTTGGCTCATAATGTCCTCGTTCCAACGGGACAGACGGTGAGTGAAGAGTATTATTAGAGCGTTTTTAAGGGGTTTGCGCGAAAAAATCCGTCTTAAACGGCCGGAATTGTGAGTCAACAATTTCCGGAAACTTGCATGGTGTAGTTGGTAACGATTTTAAGACCAAAAACTCGTTCAATAACAGCGATCAACCACCGTATTCACCGGATTTAGCCCCAAGCGACTCTTTTTTATTTCCAAAACTCAAGTTACCACTCCGTGGAACCCGTTTCGACTCGATTAAGGTCGTAATAGAAAATTCGCAGATGGAGCTGAGGTCGACTGCTTTCAACAGCTGCTACAAACTGCTTTAAAGGTCGCACTAATTTTTGGCATAGTATTTAAGGACAATGCTACCAACTTCACAAAAAAAAACTGAAAAATATTCAGCAAGTGCAGTTTAAACGACAATTTCCGTAAACTTTCTGGTATAAATTTATTTACTTTCGTTAAAGGGACCGTTAATGGATAAAAGGATTAATTCGGAATTGAGATGACAGTAATTAAAAATTTATTTAATTTGTTCTTTGTTTGTTTGCGCTAAGTCTGTGGCTAAGATTACAAACAAGTTAAGCTTAGTAATTAACCCTAGGCCAGTATTATAGGCATTTACTTATTTCTCTATTGAAGAATTGTTTTCGAATTCACTCTAACTTGTTTCATGGAATGAGAACTAAATCCTCGTTCTAGTCATAGAACACTAACTAAAATAGAGAATGCTTAGTCGGACTTTGGCTGTAGCTCGGGTCCAAAACTATAAAATAAGTTTTTTTTTCAATTACTGTCGCGGAAGAGCAGGTAGTGTGAATCATTGACACTAAATAAACAAAACCGTTCCTATGTAGCTATCAGTTATTTATAAGCAGTTTAAGAAAACTATAGGTTACAATAAATATTAGAATAGTATTGAACAACTTAAATTGATGAAGAAGCTCAACAGAAAGTCGCTTCACCGGCTATAAAACGTCAAATATATTCCGTAAATTACAAAATTTTTCGACGAGTAGCGGCGTATGTCAACAAAGATTCAAATTCTTTCAATACAAGGTGTAGTACGTGAGCAATTGTCCCTCTTTCACCTCAACAATGTGGTGGGTTTCATAGAATTTATATTCCCATATTTGAATAAAAATCTTCGAGAAAAGAGTGAACTTAAAGCTTTCTATCATTGAAAAGAGTAGACTTCACTAGAGATTTTTCAATGTTGATTAAAATTGCATTACGTTACATAATTATATTAACATTATTATTTATACTATGGCATAATATGAAGGAGGTTTTTGAATATAATTGTTATAATAGGTTCGTTTATTGAGACTGAAAATAGAGTAGAGCAGCTCATGTTCGAGCGTAATAGAGCAATTGCCAAAAAAAGAAGAGCAAGTTGAGTAAGTCGGAGCAAAAATCTCATGAAACATTTTACGGGCAACAATTTTCAAATGCGAATGTTTGACTTTTCTGTTGTAAATTTTACGATTTTTTTCATATATTTCTTAGTAAAATTTATAATTTTTCATTTGTATTCAAATCCTTTGCTGTGCCCCGTGAACATCCCTTTCTTATATTTTGCGCGCTTTCATTTTCTTAACTCGTCTGTCTAAATAAATCTTATTGCTTGCTCCAAGTTACTCTTCCAAAAAAGTCAGAGAAGAAAATCGTGATCTGAGTTGCTCTATTTCTGCTTAGAACAGACTTGTGAAACAAAAAATGAAACACAATTTTTTTGAAATAAAGTAACCTGGTGTAACCTAGAGCAGCTCAATAAAAAAACCTAATATGAAAATACAATAATGTTCTCCATTCGAATGTGGATTTGATCCAAAATCTTCTTCACGTTTACCATTTTNAAGGCTATGTTTTAAATAAATGCTCAAACTTTATTTAAATTACTTTATGGTATCCATTTCTAATGTGTTGCTCTTAAGCAACGACCAGCTAAAACTTATGATATTTTTCCGATTATTTTTTTTCCCCACAACAATAATCACTTACTATATTAACTTAATTTCGGTAAGTGTACCAGCAAATCCTTTTTATATTGAACCATGGACCTTGAGCTAGAATTTAGAAATATGAATTATTGTGTTAATAAGACAAAAGAAATCTCAGCTTTCACTAAATGTTGGACTAAGGACTTCAATACCCATACATAACCATATTAGACCCAGTTATATGGAATCCAGTTTATCAATTGTATAGCGACAAATTGGAATTTGTATAAAAACAATTCTTAATATTCGCGTTAAGAAACTTACACTAGGATACCAATAAGAGTCTTCCGCCTTATAAAAATCGTTTACTACTCATTATTTATTTTGATACTCATTCCACCAGCATTGATTCCTTCAAGCATCAATTCTGCATTGAAAACTAATTGCTTAAAATAAATAAGTAATAAATAGCAGCTGATGAGAAATTTTATGGTTGTTTAGTGCAACAGGCAAGTATAACCGCGAAATTTCGGAATCGATCGCCGATTCAAGGCAGTTCAGACTGTCATTAGGTTCTAGTTCTGGCCCAACCATCATCCAAAATTATAGTAAATCCAAATAAAAAAATTAACTTTGTCTCAGCAAGTGGGGGAGATGTGTATTCAAGTTGAGCACGAGGCTCGTTTCAAAAATACGTGGTCTTTACCCAATGCCATAGGAGGCACCTGACGCTGCACAGACGCCAATCGCATACCACTCAACTAAATTGAACAGGGATGGGAAGAGGCGAAACAGATCAGATAATTACATATCTAATCTGGACCTTACGAAGGTAAATTCCATCGCAAACAATGAAAAATGAATGCAAAATCATTCGTACGCTCGAATACAAAAAAAACAAATAACAGGAGGCAATTAGCCAGCACCCAAAGTTATGCGTAAACAAACTTAAATATTTCTAAATATGCTCGTCATTCGGCAGGAAATGCCACGCTCTCCAATTGGGTTTCTGATATGAAATGAAAGGTTTTCATGAGAATCCGTCAGCCGCTTCGAGGTTGCTTAGAATTAAGTCTAGGTCTCCCAATTTGTTGACATGAAATCAAAAATCTTAAAAAAAACCCCACATAAGAACTTTCCCTCACTCTAAATAAAATTAATTTTGGAAAATAGAAAAAATAACTATGCATGTACTTACTTTTGTTTAATGAAAATTATTACTTTATTCGTTTATAATTAGTATTAATTTAACATAAAGATAATATAATGAATTGAAGTGAAAATAGTTGAAAATGTGGCCCCCTCTGTCTCGCATTTTTTTCGGAATTAAAAATATTTTCATAAGTGGTCAAAGAAAAGGTGTTAAAGTTGAACTGTCTCGTTGTGCCAATCAGTGTACATATATGTTTCGTATAGTATTAGTCAAATATAACCTACATACATATTCTAAAATTGCCGAGTGGTAACATTGCGCACTGATTTCACCAACGTCCAAAACTATGGAAAAATATTTTTTCTAAGTCCGGTCGCCCCGCGGTAGGGATTATCAAGCCTTCCGAGTGTATTTATGACTTGAAATCAAAGCCCCTCGTAAAAATCAGCTGTTCTGGGACGACTTAGAATAAGCTGTAGTTTCCTCCATTTTTTGGAAAACTATCGAGATTCTCGCCCAAAAAACGCTTCGGCGGTTGCAAAGCGCTAGTTATATATGTATATAATCTAATTTTAAGTATATATAGTTTATTACCAGTATCATGACGCATAAAAATATGTAAATTTTACAAAAGTTTGAATACGGTCAATAAGACCAGCACTGTTTACGCAACAACACCTCTCTATGAAGAAATATCAATTTCGATTTGTCATTAAAAGTATTTACCGGCTAATCAACCTAAATTTAGCAGGAACTTGCTGATAACGTACTGAAGATGTTTTCAAATATTTATATATTTTTAAATACTACGATTTCGTTCTAAATAGGCCAACATACATGGCACAGGGGTTAACAATAAGAGGTGCTGTTTGATATTCAAGACAAAATGGCATTTTTGAGACAAATAATTGAATATTTATTTCAATGTAAAGAGGAAGTTATGTCATTTATAATGAAAAACAATATCAGACAATTTATGAAAATTTTATATGAAATTTTTTATGAAATTTTCCACCACCAAATCACAAAGTGATTGCTGTATACCCTCAAAAGCTTCACGAATTTTATCTTTGAGGTTTTGAATCGTCGTTTTCACGGAGGAGATTGCAATATTTAAAATCAAAAAATATCTCGGTGGCCAATTGCGATCACCTCTTCGTGAGATAACACGGTCCGGAAACTTTTCCCTAAAAAGATCGATGGTTTCGTTGCTTGTGTAGCACGCAGCGCCGCCTTGTTGAAAGTAAACATTGTCCAGATCAATATCATCCAATTTCGGTCATAAAAAATTATCTATCAACTCTCCATACCCCAAACCAACCAGACCGATTCGGGCCATAATCCGCACCAAAGAGTTACATTTTGAGAATTGCTTGGCTGTTCAGCAATAAAAATTGGCTTTTCCGAGCCCCAAATGCGACAGTTTTGCTTATTAAAGTAGTAATTACAACTCGAGGGCTTCGTCAATCTGATTATTTCTCGATGAAATTCAGGATCGTTTTCATACATTTCAAAGACCCAATCAGCAAAGACACGGCGTTGCTGATGATCGGCCGACTTGAGTTCATGGGTTAACTGAAGTTTATAAGCCTTGAAACCCAAGTCTTTATGCAAACTACGGTGTAATGACGTGTGTGGAATGCACAATTCCAAAAAACGATGAGGAATGGAGTTGTACTTGAGCGACGTTCACGTGTTTTATTCTTCACGTCACTAACGTGGCCCAACGGCTCCATTTCGTCTACCAATTTCTGTATTGCGGTCCGACAAGATGCTTCGCGATAAGAAAAAAAATGTGTTAGCTTTAAGAACCGCCTCTCAAGGCTTTGTTGAAGAGTGTATTGTTCTATTTTTATTACTGGCATAGTTTTTACTTGCCAATTGTCAAAAAATGACAGCGTCAAAAGTGACTTCCACCGGAAGTAGCACCTCTTATTGAAAAACTCTTTATTACATCATTATTATTTTTCCGAGATAAGTTTTTAATTGAAGTTAAATATAAATATATTTCTTTATTTTCAGCAAGCTAATGTTTATAAGCACGACAGCAATGATCCCATCGAAGCGACACAAGTGGCAGCAAATTGTCCACAATTTCCCGATTTGCAACAAATCACTAACTCGGAAGCTCGCCGCGAAAATGTGGATGATTGTCTCACGCTGAATATTCATGTGCCATCTCATGTACTCCGACCACAACAGAGAACACGCCTCCTACCTGTAATGGTGTTCGTACACGGCGAGATGCTTTTCGACGGTAGCGCAGAGGAAGCACAACCCGACTACTTCATGGAGCAGGATGTTATGTTAATATCGATTAATTATCGCCTTGCACCATTCGGTTTCCTCACCACATTGACAAACGAAATGCCCGGCAATGTTGCGCTGGCCGATATCCAATTAGCTTTGGAATGGATTCAGCAATATATACGCGCATTCGGTGGTGATCCACTGCAAGTTACATTATTCGGTCAAGCTGGTGGTGCAACCTTAGCGCATGCATTGAGTTTGAGTCCCAAGGTGAGTGAGTTAACATTTGATGATAAAACATACTAGCTAACGATGAATGTGCACTGTGCACTGTGCACTCCATTATAGGCGCAAGGTCTCTTTCACAAGTTAATTCTCCAGTCAGGCACAGCTCTGAATCCATTTTTTTTGGAACAAGATGCTTTGTCCACAGCACGAAGTTTTGCACGGTTAGCACGTTGTCCGCGTACGAGCGCCCAGGAGGTGCAAAATCTTCATAGCTGCTTCGAGCGTCTGAGCACTACAGAACTTCTCGAAACGATGAAACGCCATTATGTATGTATGTGGTTTTGTTTTGTTTATGCAAATGTTTTAATAAGTAAATTGAAATTTTCTATATTTAGGAGGAAAATGAACCCCGTGGCCTACACTTCATGGGGGGTTTTAAGTTAACCGTAGGCGATGCGCTTGGTTATCTGCCCGTTCATCCAGCGGCACTGGTGTCCAATCGTACAATTCCAATGGTAGTCGGTGTTGCTAAGGATGCTGGTTCCTTCATTTTAACAAGTAAATACTTAAAAAATCTGGTTTTTTAAATTCTCAGCACAACAATTTTCCACTTTCTGCTTTTTAATTTATTTATTGTCTTTAAGGCTTTTACGATGAATTGACACGTTTGCGTTCACTTAACATATCCGACTATATAAATGTTGTTTTGAAGCATACGGCGCAACCTCGTGATTACATGGTCTGGAAGAATTTGGCGCTGCGGGAAATTTTCGATGCCGAAGCGGTTCGAAATCCCACACTGCACAATATAATTCAGGGTTTACTGGAGGTAACCAAATTCCCAATTTATTATTTACTCCACCACAACGTGCAAGCATTACCTTCATTTCTCCTACTTTACAGCTCACAAATTTAATTTTATACCGTGGTCCAGTGATCGACACCATTCGTACGACATACAAGAAAGTACCCACCTATTTATATTGTTTTGATTATCGTGGCGAGTTTCATCGATTCGGTCATTTAAAGAATCCGTTGCCATTTGAAACCGATGCTACGCTTAGCGATGATAACATTTACCTCTTCCCCTATCCGGAGGAGGTGAGCAATTTAAATTCAGAAGATCGCTCTTTATCACGCCAACTCGTGAACATGTGGGCTGATTTTGCTACATATGATGTGCCTAATAGAAATCCTAGCATCTGGCCGAATGTGAGCAACGAAGTGGGTCCATTTTTGAGAATTGTCAATTTTAAAGCTACAACATTGGAATTGGATTATCACTTTGGTGATGGTATTCCTGTGCCAAATTTATATTCTGAGTACTTTACTAACACTACAACAACAACGAGTACAACAACAACGACAACAACAACAACTACAACACCAAAACCATACTACAATTATCCTCATTACACGAACTATTATCCTCAATACAATCCAAATTATAGACAAAACTATCAGCAAGGAGACAATTATCACTACAATCCACGATCAACTGTATTGAATATACATACATATGTCTAAGATTGCTCAAACATATTCTTAAAATTAAAATTTAGTTTACTTCATTAATAAAATGTGTTTCATATAAAATGAATAAATGCATTATCTAAACGTGAACTGAGCTGGAGCGGTTTTCCAATAAGAGGTGTTATTTTGAACTGTCTAGTATTCACTTTTGAAGCTGTATTCTTTTGACATTTGGCAATGCATTGGAACATAAAAAACTTCACTATAAAAATTTCATCGAAAAATCATCTTAACTAACATTTCCACCTCGATGGCTACGCCCATATAGTTACACATTCAGCTACCACATCATCAGCCATACCAACGATGAACCCAATTCCATCACCAACAACAACAAATGCAATTAATCCAATATTCAAGACAACAGATACCGGACACTAAATTCAACTAAACCGATAATAAAACATACATACTTACGTATAACATAATTCGGCACTGAACTGATAGTACAAACGATCAAGAGACTGTTCGTTATTCAGACAGAGAGTTCTGAACATGAGTTGCTACTAAACAGTTGAGTACGTTTCAAAGGACAACGCTCTGGATTAAAGGACAACAATTCTACAACAATTCTGAGGATCCTGCCTTAACTTCTAACACCCATTTAAGTATCTTTTTGACAAACATAAAAGTTTATTCTTTCCTTTGCAGCTCTTAATAAACCACGATTTGTAAAAGATAACCACATCTTTTTATTTTAATCAAACGGGAGTTTTTTGAATGGAATTTGCAGTGTAGAAATCTACTACATTGTAAAAACTTATTATTATATTCAAAACTGTCGCATTTGAAGCTCGGAAAACCCATGAATTATTGCTGAAAAGCCTCTCCATCCTCAACGCGTAACTTGGTGGGGTTTATGGTTGATCCGGCGAACTTATTGGACCTTCGAAAATGAGGCTGGAGCAACAGTTACGGTGAATGGATTGCGCTATCGAGAAATGAATACTGATTTTTTATGACCGGAATTGAAGGGCATTGATTTGGACAGCGTTTACTTTCCACAGCACGGGAAAAGTTTCCGGACCGTGCTACCTCTTGAAGAGGTGGTTGCAATGTTGTAGTAAAAATGTATCCATTGTTTTTGCTTGAAATTTAAGGTTTCAATTACCATAGCTAAAATGATCAGTTTTAGGTCAATATGCGCCATTTTGTTCAATAACTTGTTGCCATTTTAAAGGTAATTTCAATATGCCTCTCGCATAGAATCCCTCGTTCCTAAAAAAAATTGATACAGTCGATTTTCACAAGCCTCTCTTGAAGCGATTTTTTCCCCAGCAAAATTGTTTGCCATGGGCAGAAACAGATGGTTATCACCTGGTACCAGATCCGGACTATAAGGTGAACGCATAAGAACCTCCCAACCAAGCGCCCGGAGCTTCTGGCGAGTCACTATCAATGTGTGTGACCTGGAGTTTGTCCTGATGGAACACAATTCCTCTCTTATTGGCCACTGGCCGCTTCTGGACGATAGCTCCCTTCAGACTATCCAATTGTTGGCAGTACAGCTCCGTATTAAGAGTTTTTCCGTTTTCATGGTAGATAATTCCCTGCCAATCCCACCAAATATACAGCAAAACCTTCCTGGCCGTCAATACTGGCTTGGCCAACTTTTCCGTCGGCTCACCTCGCAACCGTCGCCGCTTGACGTTGTCATAAATTATCCACTTTTCATCGCCAGTCACCACCCGCTTCAGAAATGGATCGATTTTGTTGCGATTCAGCAGCGATTCGCAAGTGGAAATTCGGTCCATGAGGTTTTGTTGCGTTAACTCATGAGGCTCCCCTACATCGACAAGCTTTTTTAGTACGAAATCTCATCTTTCAAACGCCATCTAGCGGAACCCGATCGGACTTATATTACGCGAGATAAAGATAAATAACGGAATCTATGTAATGGAAAAATAATGGAATTGTTTTTACTTCACCTGATATATTGGTGCAACTACAATATATATATTTTACAAAGAAACCTAAGTTAAGAAAGTGCGGAAAAGTGAAAAGTTTGTCCCGCAGAAACCAGCGGCAAAGATGGTATGATATGAAACTTACTCACTTGTCTATTAAGGTACTGATTGGACCAACGTCACGCGTCTCTTTTGTTGCTATTTTTAGCTCTTTGTTTCCCACTTTCAGCATATTTTCATTGGCAGTCATGAGTACGGTAGCATTTAGGAGAAAACTTGTTTAATATTCGTTTGGTGAAGAATTGTACACATGACCTCTGGCTTGCAGCACTACCCACAGGATTGCGGCGACCACCGCAGCTATTAACAAATTGTTTTCAACTAATTTTACTAAATTTTGTGAAGATACAGCTTGTGGATTATCATAATTGTGGAGTCTATAAAGTATAATCGAGCTTTTACCTTGTTTTTGTCTTTGCTGGTGCGTTGTCAAAATCGTTCATACAATCCAGTCTCTGAAAACGAAATATTCCTGCGATTGATATTCGTAATGAATAATGAAATCGGTCAGGCGTTATCAGCTGTGAGCTCAATCCGGAAAAAATTTTAAGATTTCCTACATTTTCGGCTCTACAATGATATTTATTCACCTTCCTTTTCCGTACGATCAAAATCCTCAAATACCTGATCTTCGGTTCCATCAATCTGATGTATTATAAGTTGCTTCGACTTCGACTGTGATCAATGCACATATCTATTAACACCACTTTATTTAAGCGTAAGAGCCTTTGGTATAGTCATAACTTATTATATTTATAATGACATTCCTGAATAATAAGGATTAGCACCGTTAAATGGCAAACTTTTTTTGGCCCTTTAATAATGAGTAATTCATTTCAGGAGCCATTTTGATTACCTCTGTACTCTAATGCAAATCGTCTTCAGACGATGAGGAAATTAAGATGGCAAAAATTGAAAAGGAAACTCACTTAGAAGAGGCTGGACAGGCTCGAAGTCAAATGGCAACATCGGAAAAACTTTTCGTATTTTCGTTTGACTTGTAAAAAGATTTAGCCTTTCTCAAGTTGACCACACCCGTAGCTTATTACAAGTATAAGCGAAATTTTGGATGTTATAATTTCAATAAAAATATAAGCCACAGATCTGTTTGGCCAGAAACATCTTGTCTAATAAAATACATAAAGACTTACGCTGCGAACTTCGAAAAATAATAAGATATCCGGACTTGAGTACCGGGCAAAACAGAAATATTAAGTTTATTGAAACTTGTTCAAAGCACGTAAATCAAAGCTGAGTCAATTGACATGAAATTTTTTGGTAAGTGGACACAGCTATTTGCTCAAGGAATAAGAAATGAAAAAATCAAAACATTTTCGAAAATTATAGATCAGTCTTTATTATATCCTAAAGGTAGAACTGTGACAAAGGAAAAAATAGAGAGACTTGATGGGCCCGCTAAAATTCATTCCCCCTGTTAAACACGTTTACTATTTATAAGAACTTGTCAACAAATCGAAAAGACGAATCCTCGCATACAGCTTATGAAGAAGGCATTATATATTGGTAAAGAAAGAGGTTCGTTCGGTTTTTTATTAATTTTTCAAAATATGATAACTTTGGGTACATTTGCCTGATTTACGTCAAACATACAACGTTTCGTTCGTAGACTTGTTGCCAACGGGATGCCAACTTCATTATACCCCTCTCGCAGTAGGCTGCGCCCCTATTGGCAAAAAACTCGGAGAGCTAATTTTTACAGGCCTCTCTTGAGGCCATCTTCTCACCATTAGCGTGTTCGCCATGGACAGGAAAAGATGGTAATCACTTGGTGCCAGGTCCGGACTATAAGTTGAGTGCATTAGGACCTTCCATCCGAGCTGCTCCTGGAGCTTCTGGCGCGTCATCAAAGACGTGTGTGGCCTGGCGTTGTCCTGATGGAACACAATGCGGCCTTTGTTAATCAAAGATGGCCTCTTCTGTATGAGTGCTGCCTTCACGCGGCCGATTTGTTGGCATTAGAGGGTCGGATTCAGCATTTGGACATAAGGGAGCAGCTCATAGTAGATGATTCCTTGCCAATCCTACCATACACGCAGCAAACCCATCCTGGCCGTCAATCCGGTCTTGGCCACCGTCTGGGCCGCTTCCCCGAGTTTTGACCACGACCATTTGCGCTCGATGTTGTCGTTAACCGCTTCAGAAACGGGTCGATTTTGTTGCGATTCAGCAGCGATTCGCAGATGGAAATTCGGTACATAATGTTTTTTTGCGTTAGTTCGTGTGGCACTCGAACATCGAGCTTCTTTTTGAATCCAAGGTTATAAAAATGGTTCCAAACGGTCTTCTTGCTTATCTTTAGTTCCTCTGCAATTAAATAAGTGCTCAAGTGACGGTATGTTTCCACTATTTCCATGATTTTATAGTAATTTTGACGGTAGGCGTCCTGACGCGTGGACCACCTTTGACATCGAAATTACCGGAACGGATCCTAGCACTTTTGTGCTACACGTTAGTTTACAGTATCAGGCTCATAAACTAAATTAATTTTTTCAGCTACTTTGGCTGCTTTTTCGCCTTGATCAGAGAAAAATTGTAAAACATATCGCATTTTCTCTTTGCTGGTGCCCATTCTTGATGAGCGATCAAAACGTACTGAGTTAATCAATCGAAAAACACGTTTTGAGCACCGTATAATATGACATTATGCGGCACGTAACACTAGTACTATGGACAATAACGTCATCTCTTAGATAAAAACCGAACGAATTTCTTACTACACCTAATATAATATTGTTGAATCATCCCAAAGAGTAGTGCCGAATTCATTGCGCAAATTTTATTATAAACGAACTGCCAACATTCACTTTTATGGAAAAGCAGTAATAAATATGTATAGTAACTAACTTTTCTTTAACTAAAGTTAATAATGTAAATACTAAATTTAACTTTTTTTTATTTATTTTTCAGTTGCCGAATCGATTAACTCCATCAGTCACATAACATTACTAACAATTGTTTGTTGGCTATTCTTTCTTATTAATTTTATATACCGTTAGATTAAAGCTATATCTGCCATTATGCATTCTACATTATATATTTGAATTCATATTAGTTTTTAAAAATAATCTGCATTACACCATCGTGTTTCTCAACTTTTCGTTTTATGGAGTTAATCGAAGTGTGCCCTGAGCGGCTCCATTAAGATCGAGCAAATTTTCATTTGGTATTATATAATATGTAGCTATTGTGATCTACAGAGCTCATAACATTAGTAATATCCACTCTTATAATAAATTATAATTACAGTTCATTTGTATGTGCGCGTACTGTGTATAAAAAAATACCATATACGCGTACATAGATATACTCGTAAAAAGAGAAAGAAAAAGGAAAAATCATTTAAATAAAATTTAAAATAAATCAATATCACGAATTAAGCACGCATTTTGGAAGGATATGTGCGTTTAACCAAGGACTTTTTGCCATTCGCTTTTCTCCTTCTATTATGTTTAATTGGTTTTCTTCTATTAGCGCGATTATTGCGCAAATAATATATTTCTCGGATTAAACTATGTCCATTTTCTTCATCGATTAACGTGGCCGAAAACTCTTTGAAATAATTTCCACCTACGGTTAACGTGTCATCTATTTTCATATATGGACCATATAGGGTGGTCATAGGTGGCCAATATCCAGCACGCACGTCGCTGAAGGGATTGCCATTGATAACAAAGGAAGTCCATAAGTCTACCATACGTTTGGCTATTGTCACATCCGGTGGACTCAAGTTGGTGACATGTTGCGGATATGGAAAGAGATATAGAGCTTCATCGGTTAGAGAGACGCCTGCTTTGAATGGACTCTGCAGATTTGTCTCTTCATCCAAGTCGCGATAACGATTGAATTCGCCCATATAGTCAAAGGAATAGAGAAATGTATTTTCCGGAACGTGTTTGTTATTCATGTTGAGTGCTAATAGCACCGGCAATTTGTGCATTAGGGTGCCACCGACCTTAAAAGGAAACAGTACACAATTTAAGTGATATAACTGAACTTTTTATACACACATATGTATATATGTATGTGCATATGTATAGTGACCTACATCGATTAGGCGCGGTATCAAGGTGCCAAAAGTTCCGTTCTCCATTAATTTCCTATTGAAGAAATCGTGCGTTACGAAACTCGTCAGCAACATCGTCTTATCCGTACCGACCACTTGTCGAATTACATGATCGATATAATCATAAGCCTTATAATCGTCATCTGGTATAGTACCCTCGAAGTCGTTTTCGACAATTTCTAAAAATTTACAATTAATTTAAAGAACTCAAAGAATACCCCAACTGCTCACCATTCAAAACTCTAGAGCCAACATTTTTCGGACAACCACCCATAGCTGGATATGAAAAATTTGCATTCAGCATGAGATCATAAGGATGTTCCGGCATAACTCCGCTTGGACCGCCAATTGTAAATTGTATACCACCAGTATGGCCCACGCCCAAATCGGACTTTTCCAACTTAAATTTGACGAAAGCTTTGCATTTTATTCAATTATAAAATTAAGACTTTTTGGCAAAAACTTACTGCGTGCGCCATGAATGCCGTCAGCAATTCCAGCGGCGATAAATCCATAAGACACTCATTTAAATCACGCACTGTCTTCATTTTGCATTCGGCCTTCTGGGCGACCTCTTGTGCCAGCTGTCGTGGATTCCCCTCCAGAAAAATGGGCATCAGAGCTGAGCCGGAGTGATAAATCACCTGATGGAAAAGTCCTTTTGGTACCTGTAATTGTTTTTAACACTGTTATTTCGTCTTTAGCAAATTTATTGTTTTCTCTTACCATTGGTGAAATGGCCAGCAAATGCGTAATGGCCGCTCCTCCTACCTGCCCCGCTAGTGTGACACGATTCTCATCGCCGCCAAAATATTTGATGAAATGTTTAACAAATTGTAAAGCCAAATAAATGTCAAGTACTCCTGCATTTCCGGGTATTTCATCGGTTTTGGTTGAAAGAAATCCAAATGGACCTAATCGATATTGTGGTGTCACCAGTACAATATCCCTTTCCAGCAAATAATCCGGTGGTGCCTCAGAATTGCTACCCTCATATAAATATTCTCCATGTACGTACACTAAAACGGGATAGCGCCCAGTGGTATTGGGAGTTGTAATCGTCATTGTGAGACAATCTTCAATATCTAGCACATCGTCCAACTTTTTTAGAGATTCCATAGAAACAACCGACGGGCAACCAATTTTCTCTGCTGTGGCATCCATGACATCTTCCCATGGTTCCACAGGACGAGGGGGCTATGAATGAAAGTATATTAAAAGTAAAGTGAAGATAAGTGAAGTAATATGTGGAAATATATGGAACGAAAGAATGCACGATCTCGTTTATTCTCAGTGAAGCAAAAGACTTTACGTTCCGTAGGTAACTAAAGTTTCTTAATCAAATAAGACTTAGCTCCAGCTTTTATTGAAGCTTACATCGATGCTTGGACTTAGACTTCTTATTTATCAAATAGTCAGGGTTTATGTGGCGAAGCAAGTAAATTATTGCTTCCAAAAAAAATAAATTGCGGTAATTATTATATAATTTAGATTAGGTTGTAAGGGAACTAGAACCAGAAGCGACAAGTGTGCGACTTGTTCTGTGAATTGCTAAGATTAGTATTCCCTGTATATATAGCGTGCGTCTCGGTATTATAATAAATGGTAAATTCCTTAACCGATATAACGCTGCAGTTCCTTGATTTGAGCCACTTCCGCTTTGAGAACTTTAAACTCTTCTGGGTATAAAGCGTTTCACCTTTGTTAGAGGCCTATTATGTTACCACTGAGCCTACTAACCGTATGCGCTTATTATGGTTGCTGCCCATAGAGATTTACTTTAAACCACTCCTCCAATGTGAAGAGCAGTCGCAAAGGTTATTTCTGAAGTCGTTTGATGGTACGTAGGAACGATCTGTGTGCTTGATCTTTAGAATATGGCTTGTAAGAAGACCCATAAGTGCAGATACCCCTTTTCTGTCTAGCGTAATAATCTCTCGTACCTTTTTCTGACTATCCGAGAAGATATGTTCACTATTTCATGAGAGTATTCTGGAGCTTAGACTATTGACAGACACATGTATAACCGCCAGCTCTGTTTGAAAAACACTACAAGTGATCCGGCAATATCAAGCTCAATTGAGTATACTCCGTAAGCCACCTTGTTACTAGTTTTGGCCCATCTGCACTAAAATGAATCGAGTCTGCATTTTCTAGTACTATCCTATCGCATTAGTTTCTAACCGAGATTATTACTAACTAGACACCTTTGGGAGCCTTTCCACAGCACGGGTAGCATAATTCAACACCTAAATGTCAATGAAAATGTAGATTTAAGAGGAGTTTTCTAGCTTCAATTGGCTTGCATATCTTCAGTTTTATCAGTCGTTGAATTTTGTGAATCAGCTTCAAGCAGAAATAAACCAACTTAGGGCGTCTTTTTCTGCTTAGAATTTTTTGGTGGAGTAACTTAGAGTAAGTAATAAGATTAGGATACGAAAAAGGGTAGAATGTGATTACGGAATGTTCACGGGTCACAGCAAACTACATTCGAAATCTTAAAAATGTTTAATTTTGCTTACAACTGAAATGCCAACTGCTCTACTTGAGCTGTCGACTCTACTTCAATAAACAAACCTATTATATTAGGTGTAGTAAAAAGTAATCCATTACTTTTGCATTAAATGGAAGGTTTTAATTTTTATATTTTCGACAATTGACCTTCCCTTCTGATTGATTGACTGTAACAGTATCAGGACACTAAACGATATTCATATTTTCAACCGCTTGGCTTGCGTTTTCGCCCCTATCGAAGAAAAACTGTAAAATATACCGTATTTTCTCTTTGCTAATGTCCATCTTTGACGCACGCTCAAACAAACTGAATCAATCAATTAGAAAACTGTGGGAACACCTTTTTTTTACGAAATATCATCTTTATAACGCCTTCTATCGGAACCCGATCCGACTTCTATAACGCCATCTGTTGGAAAAATCAGTCATACAAAGTGGCACAAACTTAATGCTAGATTTGTGGTTTTTGTTGAACCTGAGTAATCTAGAACAAGCTGCAATGCTCTAACTATAATCGAACCAACTAATCGTCTCTCAAGCTCGATGTTGGTAATTCAATTCTACTTTTAACAAGAAATAAATGCTGTCTTCGGCTATGCCGATCTATCATATCAAACTCTGGATTATGAAGTGAATGCATAAGAACCTCTAAACCATGCACTTGGATCTTATAGTGATTCTCTATCGATGTGTATGTGTATGGTCTGGCATTGTCCGGATGAAACACAAGTCCACTTCTGTTGGCCAAAACTGGACGCTTCTGGGCGATTACTTTTATCAGATGGTCCAATTGCTGACAAAGGTTTGAATTTAGAGTTTATCCGTAAGGGAGCAGCTCATAGTGGATGATTCCTTTCCAATTCTACTAAACACACAGCAAAACCTTACTGATCTGGAGTCCGTTAGTACCGGCTCACTGCCTTTCGAACCCGAACGTTTTCGTTTGACATTGCTGTAGGTTCAACCACTTTTCAGCACCAGTCACTCACCATTCGCTTTAGAAATGGGTTGATTTTGTTACGATTTAGCAGAGATTTCCAGATAGAAGTTCTGACCACGAGGTCTTTTTACCGTTAACTCATGTGGCACCCTTACAACGAGCTTCTACGAGTATCCAGCCTTATCAAATATAGTTTCATACTGTTTTTTGGGCAATGTTTAGCTTCTGGAGAATTAAAACATTTTCGACAATTGGCCTTCCAAGCCGTGGAGCATTTTTTATATAAAAAATACCGGCATGAAATCGACGAAACCAAAATTGTGCATGATTGACTCTTAAAATAGCAGGACCATAAACAGTATTCACATTTTCATTCTCAAACACAAACAAATTATTACAGTAATAATATCCTTGAAGCTAGTCTATAAATTTCAGGCAAAATTCATTAAGCTCCTCATTCCCATGAAATCGATTTCGATTTTATTGGGTCAATCTCTTCCACTTTTATACTTTCATAAAACTTGATAAAGTTGAATGAAAGACTTATATATATACTCGTATATTAAATCATATTCAAAAACGATTAAAATTCTGAAAATATTTTTTTAAGCGGTTGATTTTTTTAGAGAAAAGAGCAGTACGAAAAGGAAACTGCCTTTAGATTATTGTACCATGGAATACAGCGTATTTTCTCTTTTCTGGGTCCGAGGTTAAGTGATCAACACATTTCAAGTTTATCTTTTTAATACAAAATATCATCATATCGCACTTATATAATGCCAGACATGGGTCACTAAGGCCATTTATTTTGTAAAATAATTACTTTTTACTTAAATTAATATCTGAACAAGTTAGTTGTATAGGGGGCTACATGATATATGTAGTTTTCTAGTCTGGTCGCTTCTATCAAATGAACAAATACGTCTTCGGGCAAAATTTATTTGAAATATCTAAACACCTCAGGGAATATTTGGCATTCTGGCAGACGAACACACAGACAGGCATAGCTAAAATAAGTCACCGCACTGCTTCTGATGAGATCATTGAAAATTTTGGCACTTTCATGTCCATAGAAGGTATATTCACTTTTTGGGTAAGGCTCAATTATAAATTCAATAATAAGAGTTCATTATAGCAAACTTGGTGTGTTCACCTTTCAATATAACGATTTTCGCTAAAACCCTCTTGGAATTGTACCACATGCCCTTTTATTATTTTTAATTTTTTTGATAAAATTGTTTTTCTTTTTAATAATCATCTTTTCGCTATGTTTTGGAAATTTACACAAAATTCATACCTTAAATCTATATTTTCCCGTGGGTGGTTCTGCGTATCTGATATCCACAAACTGTAACACTTCTCGCTTTGACCAAGCGGTTTCTATAACTTTTCCTTGAATTGTACCCAATTCAGGTAAATTGATAACGGTATCAGTATCATCGTCAAATTTAGAGTAAGAAAAACCGAATAATAAAAACAGTACGACTATGAATATCAGAAAACGACGATATTTCATATCAATGTCCAAAGAAGTGGAAGCAATTTTAGTAAACATTTTTCAAAATATAGTTAATTTTAACACAAAATCACTTATTTTAAAAATGGATAATTATTTTATTCAAATATATTATACACTGTAAGCCATTTTTTTAGCCTTTCAAAACCCGAAAAAAAATATAACTCAAGAATTGAAGAAAAAATGCTTCGAAAGACTTCTTAGATTCTAAAGAATATACCGCGCGGCTCTGAGTCTTTCTTCCGACTGGTTGTAGAAAACAGTGAAGAAGCCGCGTATACTTGGCGCCAAAGCACGAGAAAGTATTGTTCGAAATAAGAACAACAAAAAATGCCAGATTTGCATATTGACACAAAAAACAGTTGTAGGAAACGGGCTATGAGATTTCACTTTAGCTAAATTGGTCTTCTAGCGGTTAAGAAGCGAATTGCGAAAATAAACCAAAAAAAAAATAAAAAATACATAAAAGATTTGCGTAGATCATTAGTGAAATTTAATTACGATAAATAATAGCAAAATCATTAGTTATATTTCTTTAAATTTAATGCGTTGGTTACCGTTTGCATGACTGTAAAAATGCATACATTCATACATACATATGCGATTGTGTACATCCGTCGAAGTCCACATATTATATTTAATAACGTATTTTTTGACATTTCCTTTCACCTAACCGTTATTTCACTAATATGTATTTAGTATATCTTTATTCGTAAAATTAATAGTAGCGTATACATAAATACATACATACACGTATGTGCATGAGTATGCTAACAAGAGCACAGCTGGCGTTTTTAATTTTGCATATTTTAACCCAATTTTTAAATAGCTCGAATGTATGTATGTCTGCTAATGCCTCCGGTCTTTGCGGTTTTAGTTTTGATTTATTATTTTATTTGAATTCACTGATTCACGCCTTGCAGCGCATCAGTAGCAAAAATAGTGAGTTAAATATCTTTAAAAATACTATATAGTATTTAAAGGTCTCATATTAAAAATAGTCAATAAAAGTTCCGCAAGAATACTCATACTTTTCGCAAAAATATAAATATACAGGGTGCGCCATCTAGATGTATACCATTTCAACATTGAATAGCTTCGCCATTTGTCAGCCGATTTTCACAGATGATCACAATTCTGAAACATCATTCAGTGCCATTTTAGCTATGAGTTGATACACACCGAAAGAACGCGCTGAAATCGTAGCGCTTTACGCTTCAAAGTTGGAGAGACCATTGACGGTGCACGCTACCGTTGGATTTTGACGCACTTTGTTTGTCCACAAATGCAGAAAAAGGTCTACAAAACTTTTATTTTCAACAAGACGGGGCACCATGCCACACCGCAGCCGCTACGATCAAGTTTTTGTAGAGCAAGTTCCCAGGACGCGTTATCTCAAAAAATGGTGATTTGGAGTGGCCTCCTTGATCTCCGGATTTAACGGTACCAGACTTTTTTCTGTGGGGATATTGAAAAAGCAAAGTTTATGCCAGCAAGCCGAAGAACATTGACGAACTCAAATCTAATATACGAGCTGAAATAGCTGCGATATCACCCGAAATGCTGGCCAATGTATGCAGAATGCCCGCGAAAGAGCTGATTTTTGTGTATCAAATGGGGGTGGTCATTTAATCGACGTTGTATTCTAAACCTAGATTGAAATAAATGGCATAGAATATCGTAAAAAAATCTTGTTCATTTGTGAAAATTGGCGGAGTTATTCGCACCCTGTATATGTATGTGTGTCGATATAAATACGTATATATACATTTGTGTACCATTAAATTTGTCATTTATACTTCCCAATACTTTGCACTCTTCAAATATGTAAGCTTTTAGGTTCGGCTTCTTTACTTAAATCTAAAATGTGTATGTAGGTTAAACATGCCAAATCCATTAGACACTAAAAAAAAAAAACAATATTTTGGAAGAAAGAGTTAAGAAGAAATGAAAGATTTTAATCATCAAGCATGAGCTAAGAAATGAACATAAAAAACAAATAAAATCTATGTTAGCTGTTCAATCATGTATGGGTACATTTGTAGGTATGTATGTGTTCTGCAAGAGTTATTAATTAATAAATCTCTTAAATGGAAACACTTATGTATCTGTAGTATAAAAACTCACATACTCTTCGCTGTGCTAAATACTTCATGAATGTAAGAAAAATGAAACATTGGATCATGATGCAATAATTTGAAGGTAGTTTCATTCTCTCTTTGCAGTCGGCTTCATAGCTGTCGGACACTAAATGTGTTTCGGCTTTTTAGTGCTACCTTCTTCTTCTCTTAAAAAAATCTACCACTTTTAAACAAAAAATGTGTGGAGATTTCAAATTTTTTTAAATGTTTAAACATTCAAAAATCACTTGTTATATTGTATTTCATAGTGTACTTCATCGATTATATGCCTTTCATAATTTTTGTATTGCAACTTTAGTAAATTGTAAGAAAGAATTCAAGAAGATGAGGAGCTGGCTGGATTCGCCATATCTACGTTTGAAAACAAATAACTCTCACAGTTTGAGAGACGTTTCAAGGAAATCGGATATTGTTTTAATAATTGTTGGTTATTTAGAGCAATGCACTTCCAAACTCTTTTGAATTCAATATAACCGTCATATATATTGATATTAGTCAGTTAGTTAGTTCGATCACGCTGCCTTGATCTCTTGATGATACCTATATTGGTTCTACGAAGAAGATACCTCTCACATTTCTAAATACTCAAACCAGTTGGTGTATTCTACGAAGTTCAGAAGATTAATGATGCCTAAACATACAAGCTATGCTAAGCAATTGAAGAAGAAATTTCCGAGATATCGATAACGGACCGCAGAGTTTACCGGGGTTATGACTATCGATATCTGGTCAGCTTATCGGCCACGCAATTCCCCGAGGTGGCCCTATGAGCAGAAAGCCAAGCCACGCACATTTCCCATATAGGCGAAAAAAACCAAAAGGTTTATGCTTTGAAAAAAATGCAACTCTTTCTATTTTATTTATAATAAAAAGCAAGTAGTAAATCTTTTCCTTATTTCTGCTGCATGAAATAAATATTTTATGTTCAATATTATAGTATCTACTTAGAAGGTAACTCAAAAAATAATTAAAAAATCTCCAAGTTGAAAATATTATAAGTGGCAAGATCAAAAATTTCGAAGTGAAACTACCTTATAGAATTTTTGTATCATGCATTGGATATCTTTTCATCATAATTTTATTTACCCAATACTTGTGGGTATAAAACATTTTTACTCTAAAACATGCAACATATCTAAATGTAGAACCCACAATTCCAAAGATTGATCCTGAGCTTTTCGAGATATGCGGATTTTTACAAAAATTTAAGTTTTTTATAATTTAAAATTGATATATCTATTTTTTTTTGTTTTTGCTTGTGTAGGTCACTTTTTCGCTGTTCAAAGTCTTTCATGAAAATGTCATTTTGAATGCCGCATGAAAGTAAGTCAAAGACACCATACGGATTTGTGCTTATTCCCACTCAGGTTGAGCCCGCAGTCGGAAAATAATAAAAATTCGAAACGAACACTGTCTATGCTTATATCCAAATCGGTTTAGATAGATGTGGTGATCCCTTTTCCGTTAAGGCCTGGTTCCGTTAAAAAATTTTCAAAAAATTTTAATTTTTTTCCTGTAAATTACTAGAAAATAGTTTTAGAAATAAAATAGAATTAATCCCGAAAGTGCGCAAGATTAAGTAGTACGTATAGAAGAAGAGAGAGCGGAGCGCACCAGGAGTAAAATTCGGCGCCACGAGTGCATTAATCGCCTTTTTCTCGAAACGACGTTTTTTCGGCTGGGTGACACTTTCATTTAGAACCGATTGAACTTATCAACATGAACTCAACGGCATTTTACTCCTAAAATGTCTCTCTATGATCGGTAATACAACCAAAAGTATTCATTGTTATTTAAAAAAAAAATTATAAACAATTAAAATTAAATGAAGTCAGCCAATTTTGTTTTTTTTTTTTGCTGAAAATGTTTTATGTGATACAGAAAAAGAAACCGTTCTAATTTTTGCTTTCAGATGATGCGTTTTACAGTTACCGTTAACAACAAAAGTTGTAAGAGGCGCCATTTAAAAAAGTCAATTAATATATTGTAGTTATGCGTCTTCGATTTATAAATGATCCATTTAAATTAATAAAATTTGTTTGAAAATAAAAAACGTTTTTTTGGTGAACCTGACCTTAAGAAAAGAGTATTATTTCGAGCAAATCGAACTAGTTTCCAGGTCTCTGTCTCATTTTAAGGAAGAATAAATATTCCATTCAGGCATCCAAAAATTTAACTAAAACGAACCATGCTTATAATTAAAAAAAAAACCGAACCATAAATACGATTTTTTAGAATAGGTCAGACCCTGATCCATTTCCCAGAGAGAATAGTAGTATTTCTGTTAGTAAAAAAATAATTGAAATCCCGGTGTTAATTTTAAAATAAATTGAATTATAATAAATATATATGTATGCCGAACGCGCAGTACACAAATACATCAATTTTTTGAGAAATATCACGAAGAAGTTTTTATTTATACATAGATTTCGTCTTTCCAAAATTAGAGCAAAATCCATTTTGGAAAAATAGAAAGTAATATGCTTGACATAAATAAATATCATTAATAATTTATGTGATTTTTCAGAAATCAAGCAGCAGAAATGTTGCTTTTAACATTACATACGCTTTTATGCATCGGGAAGTTTTTTAACTGGCGTTGCTGATTTGGGCGGAATAAACGTCAGTTGGTAAATAATATCCATTGCTACCGCGACACTTGTCCAATCATTCATGAGAATACCGCAAACAAGCAGGGAAATTGAGAGAACACTGCGTACTTTTCACCGAATAGGGAAGTTTCCAAAGGTGATGTGGTGTATAGATTGCACTCAGGTCAGAATTAAATCACCTGGAGAAGAAAGTGTCGAAAAATTTCGAGAGAGAAAAGGCCTGGTTCTGGACATGACTGCATTATTTTTCATAATAGTAGTCTGAAGCACCGATTTAAGGATACGAATTTTGAGACTGCTTTTTATTGGACTACAGTGGTTATGGAGTCAGCAACTGCATGATGTGTCATACCAATCTTCGCGCTGAACGGCTTTACAATGAATTTCAAATCCGTACTCCAAATGGCACTGAGAGGGGCTAGGGAGTATGGAAACACCGTTTTCCAATACTATCCCTTGGATTGAGAGTTTCTCTCAGCACAACTTTGAATATCATTGTTGCCTGTGGGGTGTGGCGAAATATTACTATCAAGAGTAACTCCAATCTGTATGTATTTGAAGCAGTTTCATCAAAGATTCTCTTGCAATTGGTTTATTTTCAGAAGAATCATAACTATTGCAGTTTTCTTTCAGGTTATAACCACATACACGTATATTCTATAGATGTAAATTAAAACCATCAAAATCTGTTGTTTCAAATAAAAATGAAATAAATTAATTTCATTAAATTACAATTTTATTTTCATTTATTAACCAAAATGAAATAAAGAAAACGGATGATCTTAAATATAGCTTAACCAAATCGTATCGGAAAATGTAAACAAATACCACCTGTCATGCAGTTTTGATGTATTCGCAACGTAAATTTTTGTGAACTTATTTTAAATATTCACAATGACCAAACTAACCAGAAGTTAGGTAACCAGAACTTGATGAAAGGGAAAGTGTCACATCAGCCCACCCGGCGGTCAACTATAATCCAGTTGGAGGTTAAGTTTATCGGACATTGTAAAAATGGCCCTTTCGGATCGACCGATTTTTAAGATTTGAGCTGTCCCTCTCCAACATTTCAATGTAAGTTTTCCAGAACGATTCATAGTTAGCGACATCGTTTTTATTGGAAGAAATATTTTGGACGATGAGCATATTTTGCAAGTCTGTGGGTCGCCAGTCATCAATTTATATGGTCTTTCCATAGCCTTGATTGACTTATGACACGGTACGTTGTCTCGATACTTTTTTTTTATCCAATAACCCTGATGTTGACTATTGATGATATTTCGCCTTCTCAATATAGTCGATGAATATTGGGCGAGGCCCACCAATTGCTGTCCACTCAGATAACGGTCGTTTTTGATTCCGGAAAGAAAGGATCGACCTTTGGAATATTCTGTTTAAATAAACCTAAACATTACTGTGATTTTTCTTCAACACTGAGCAGAGCTTTCTTATAAGCAAACGCTCTTGCAATATAAAGCCAACACGGCCTTTCGATCAATTTGAGATCTTTCAAAATTATTTTTTAGAGTTTAGTATTGGCGGCCGCGGTAGCCGAGTGTTAGCATTGCCTACTGTAGTACTAACATACAAAAAGTTATAGAAAAGTAATTTAAATAAAAAATTAAGCTAAATTTTATAATTTCGGTCGCTCTTCGGCAGGGGGTTGACATTCCACTCCTCCGAGTGTATTTCGGACATGAAATAAAGGCTTCTCATAAAAAAAGCCATCAGCCATTCGGAGGCTGCTTAGTATAAATTGTAGGTCCCCCCATGAAAACACCAAGACGCAAAACCACAGATTACAAAAGCGGTTACAAAATATCGCTGTTTAATGGTGTTCCCGCCTCATTTGAAAGGTCTTCGGATGTATCGACCACGATTGAAGTCAACAAACCAACGTTTTGCTGTTGTTTCTGATGAAGCGATTTTATGCCATTTCTCCGCTTGAACAGTTTAAAGAATAAAATAAGTAAAGATAAAATAAGCCGAACTATTTTCGTCAGGCAGTCGGCAGTCGGCAGTTAATAAACAGTTTTTGGCTTTTTTTTTAGAAATATTTTATTTCAATAATAAATAGATTCTTAAATTAAATCCCTTGGATGAAAATGATTTTTATAATCCATAGAATAATGTATGAATTCTCAAAACGGTTAAGTGGACCTTTTATTCATTCTTTTATCAATTCATAGATACCTCAATGTTGTTTCTAAGAGGGCGTGAACCTTTCTGCCCACCAAATATAAAATCAAATTTTCTGCCATTATCCCCGCCGATTTCATCAACTTCGCCCTCTTTGTCGTCAGCTTCCTCTAATTCATTTATCTCTACCAAACTACTGAAAAAGTCTTCATTAACCAGGTTATATCCCTGACGCGCTTCTTTCACTGTTATACTATATTCATCGATATAATTATTGCCAATTGTAACGGCACGGCCAATCTTCAAATACGGACCGGTTTCATCTGTCATAGCAGGCCAAGCTGGTGTATTCGGTGCCGTCGGTACGCCGTTAGCGGCAAATGATGTCCAAAAAGCGACCATACGTTTAGCAATTTTAATATCACGATTCAAATTTAAAGAACGCTGCCGAGGCCAAGGGAAAAGGTACAAATTATCATCGGTTAATGAGACACCTAGTTCGAAAGGTGCGGAACCATCGACATCTTCACGCAGTGAATAGCGGTTGAATTCGCCTTCATAATCGAATGTATATAGATATGTACTGTTTGCAAGCTTCTTTGCGTTAGCTTGTACGGTCAATAAAACAGGATTCTTGAAGGGAATTATACTGCACATCTGCAAATATTTATGAGAGATTTGTAAATTTATATATATATATATTTTTTTTAATTTAAAAAACTCACATCTATCAGTCCCGGCACGAGTTTGTAAAAAGAGCCATTTTTGATTTCCTCAGTGGTAAAAATTGTTTCCAGTGCAAACTTTTTCCAAGCACCGGTAGGATCTGGACCATTAGTCTGCGAAATGATTTGCTCAATATAGCCCAAGCCGTCCAATTGATCATCAATTATCGTCTCGTTGAAGTTATCGACATAGATATCTACCACAAACGTATTTATGTTTACTTTTTACGGAATTCTTACTCTTTTCTCGCCAACACTCACCTTTTAGCATAAATGTGCCGGCATTTTTAACGCTGCCACCGAGCGTCGGATAAGCTTTGTAATCCTCTGAGGCCAGTAATTTCCCTGGATGCTTTGGTAGCACACCCGAAGGACCGCCAATGACAAACTGAACACCGCCGTAATTACCAACACCCAGAGGTGCCTTAGAGTCACCATGGGCACTGAATGCCGTTAATAATGCGGTGGTATTGAGTTTGCGCAAACACTTATTCAGGGCATTCACTTTGTTGACATTCTTGCAACCAGCAAATTTGGCTATATCTTTGGAGGCCGGTAGTGGGTTGTCTGTGATGAATGGCGGTGACAATGCTGTACCGGATTGATAAATAACGCGATGAAAAAGACCATCTCGAACCTAAAAAGTATTTTCAGTTCAACTTTAATTTAAAATCAGTGCATAGTGACCAATTTACCGCTGGACTCATAGTTAATACATTAATCAAGGCCGAACCGCCGACTTGACCAAATAATGTAACGCGTTTTGGATCACCACCGAAGGTAGAAATATGCTGCTGAATCCATTCCAATGCCAAAATGACATCATGCACTGCGGCATTTCCGGGTATTTCATCGGTCATGGTTGACAGGAAACCGAAGGGACCTAAACGGTAACGCACCGATACTAACACAACATCTTCCTCTAGTAAATAGCCCGGAGCTGCCTCGTTACTGCTACCTTCATGGAGGAAGTCGCCATGAATGTAAACCATTACGGGTGCCTTGCCAGTGAACTGTTAAAATAAATACATATATTTAAGTTCATTTAAGGCAATATTAAGGACGTTTATTTGAATTTTCTATGCCGACTTGACTTACAGACTTCGTACTGACACTCAAGCGCAAACAATCTTCAAAATCAATTTTCTTCTTACGCCAATGATTGTAATTATTCAAATCCTGCAGAGAGGGACAACCGACATGTGATTTGTGAGCATTCAGAACGCCCTCCCATGGTGTCACTGCTACTGGCGGCTAAAAGGAAAGGAAATATTTGAGTAAAGTTTGTCAAAATTTCACAAATTGTTGTTGTAAAACAGTAAACTGCGACCAACCTTAAAGCGCAATGGACCAACTGGTGACTTCGCATAGGGGATGTCAAGAAATTGAACCAAAGACATACCAGACCATTGCGATTTGAGTGCACGTCCACGTACGCGACCCAAATTCGGTATATCTTTTATAATATAACGGTGCTTTTGTTGCCCTTGTGGTCGCTCCTGGGCAGCGTGTGCACTTTCCTTATGCTGCACGTTCTGTGTCGGTCTTGGGCGTTGTTCATATTGCTGTTGCAACTGTTGCGATTGTCCTTTTTGTCGTTTGTTACCAGATTGCTGTTGTTGTTTTTGTCCGTGAACGGCAAGAGCTAAAACAAATAAGAATACTAGTGTAGTAGAAAAACTACGTTGCCAATTAGCCATGTTAACTCGTCGACTCTGTCCAAACAACTGAAGTGTTGATGTTAAAAGAATTTGGCTAAAATGAAATTTATTGGCCTACTTCAACAGCAACATAACTTCATTCGATTTCTTTGCCTAGCTGTCCTATGTGGAGGAGTATGTTTAGTTTGTTCTGCTAACGGTGTTTTGCAACAGCATAATAGCATAGAGAATAGAAATATTCAATTATAATCATCTATATATAGCGAAATGGCAAAAAATAAAGATTGTCTGGTCAACCACTTATCATTTCAAGACCACTGAATACAGGGTGCGCTATCTGTTGCGATAGCATTTGAAACTTGAATAACTTTTGATATTTTATTTGTTAATTTTTATTTCATTTACATATGTTTTGTATATAATATCCCACAAATGACCGCCTTTAGTTTTGATGCAAAAATACTCCCTTTTCGTGCATTTTGCATCACATTTTCCAACGTCTCGGTTAAATAATAAACAATATTTCCAGTCGAATATTGGCTTTGGTCTAAGCTATGGTCTGCAGCTTGTCGATATAAAATTTTCTCGTCAAATATTCTCAAAAAAAAAGCGGCGTTAAATCGGGTGAGCGCGGTGACCAGCCGATATAACCGGTTTTCTCTATGATGCGTCGGTCTAACATAGCGCAGAATAGCGTCGCTGAATCGCGGCTAGTGTGTGCTGTGACTCCTACCTGTGGGAACCAGAAGTGAGCCGGAAACACAAAGTAACGCAGCATTACACCGTAGCACGCACCATTGTTCTCAATATGCCGATACGCCGCACCAAACGGTCACTTTTTGATTATGGAGAGGTTTTTCGAATATCTCACGAGGATTTCCGTTGGCCTAAAAGCGGCAGTTTTCCTTATTAACCTCGCCATTCAATATAAAATGAGCTTCATCGCTCACTGTTCAGCTCTTTGTATCGGTGTTAGCTGATTTATGGCGCAAAATAGACTAAAATGACGCATCGACCACGTCCATATATACAAATAGACTTATATACAATAAGTCAAAAAATGGCGCAACTCTTCAAGTTTCAAATGCTATCGCAGCTGATGGTGCACCCTGTATAAAGGTATATGCGAACTTAGGCTGGTTTTAAAATTGACAAATAAAAATCGCTTTACATAGGGTAATTTTTATTAAATCCAAACAGAGCTAATTCCCAAATACACTATTTTACTCGGTATCCGCCTTCGTCTTACATAAATAGACAAAATTCATTAATCGCCCACTTCCTCTTAACGGTAAAATGAGCATGTTTTGTTGCAAATAAATCTATCTCATTTCATTCTGCTCCGCCCACCGGTTTGTATTTAACTAAAGGAAATATTCCACGAACATTTGATGTTCGGTACCGAACGGTTCGGCACCTCCTTACGGATTAGTTACAAATTTGGTTCAGACTTAAAAGAAATTCAAAATATTCACTTTCGTTACATATGCATATTCATGAGAATTCTACATATCTTACTAAGATACTAATATATAGTATAATACATATATACATACATACATATGTGTGTATGTATATTAATGAATCAAGATATACTCGCATACATACATAAATATTGTAGTTACATATATGCAAATCATTATTGGAAAGTTTAAGAAGCTGACAATAAATAGCAGAGGTAAAGGTATTCACATATGTATTGACACACGTTACATATATGCAAATCATTATTGGAAAGTTTAAGAAGCTGACAATAAATAGCAGAGGTAAAGGTATTCACATATGTATTGACACACATATGTACATATGTATGTATTTAGGGTTTAAAAAACCTTACGGCCAAAAGTTTCATTTAGATAGCAAAATATGCCTCTAGAGTTAGATATAATAATAATATTAAGGTTGTTCGCATCACCCTTTTCAATTTCCCTACAGCCAATTCCTACTCTTGCGACCGCAATGTACACCATGAAAACGTGAACCTTAGGCCACTCGATCACGATCAAAGCAAATGTATTGTACTAAGGAGTATGATTTAAGGGCATGCACTTGGAATTTACGGTTCCTTTATTGGTCCCGAGAATTTGGACACGGAAACGTGTAGGTTTATATGACATATAACACAGCGGCCATTTAAATGAGCATGGGAGAGAGACTCTAGTCGCCGAGTTCTGGCTTTCATCACCGTGAATAAACGATTGGCCACAATCCACTTCACACACCGACGGAACAGTAGAACGACGTGAGCAAAGATACCTCTTATGAGTGCCTGGACCCTCGACGATGTCAAAATTGTGCTTGGCACAAAGGTCGGAAAAGCCAGCCTTCACGTCGAAATATTCTCAAATAGGTTTGCAGCTTATCGACTTTGCAGTGGCCGAAATATGGTTGTCAATAGTACTAGATCCAACATAAGAAAATTCATTAAGCTACTTGGTTCTTGCGAATTATGACGAGACGTTCATCCACCACAGTGAATGCCAGTACTTGGCGACGACGCAATACCGCATGTGATTCACGTTCTCACTTTAGCTCGTCTCCAAACAGGTGCTTCTTGGCTTCCTAATGGGAGACTTGATCGAAGAGTAGAGGTCGTGAGCTGCTTGAACCATATGCAAAAAAAAATCGTTTCTAGCCACTTCCAGGTGAATGGCAGTCAAAACAATTTTCAAATATACATTCAGTTTTCATCAAAACCCTAATCTCGAAAAGTAAGCCGACAAATTATTATGCATTTCAATTACAGGTGTAAAAAGAATTTATTTATTCATCAATAATTATCTTGTCCCCTTCAAAGTAATCACCTCAGATATAATACATTTAGGCCAGCGCTTTTTGCAATCCTCAAAACACTTCTGAAACACGTTTTTGGTGTCTCCAATAGCTCCTGTTTCGATTTTTCCTCTATCTCCTCAATCGTAGCAAAACGCTTTACTTTAATCGATATTTTCAATTTTGGGAAGAGGAAAAAGTTAGCGGGACCAAGCCCGGTGAATACGGTGGTAGGCATGATAACGCAAGCATCGATGTGTGAGCTGGAGCGTTATCATAGTGCAAAATCCATGATTCTTTTTCCACAATCCTGTGCGTTTCTGACGAATTGTTTCGCGCAAACGGCGCATAACTTTTAGGTAGTTATCCTTATTGACCATACGGCTTTGTGACAAGAATTCATGAAGCACCACGCCATTTCAGCCGAAGAAAACAGTGAGCAAAACCTTCATATTTGGCCGAACTTGACGTGCTCGAGCGATCAGGCACAGCATTGTCGTTGGCATCTTCTCGGCCTTCCTTAAACCGGTTATACCACAATTAAACTGGTGTATGCTCATAGAAGACTCGCCAAACGCAGTCAACATTTTACTTTTTTTACACAAAACTTAAAACAGTTTCTTTGATCTTTTCTTTCGAATAGTAAGATATCGGAGAGCACACCAAAACACGACTAACCTTTTTATCTGTCAGAAACAAACTGACAATCCAAAATGGCTGATACTGCCAACATATATCTGTTATATACAGACATGTGTACCAACATAACAGAAAAAAGCGAAAATCGAAACAAATACGTAACTCACTAAATTTGAAAATAACAGATATTTTCTGATCACACCTCGTATGCATAGCACAAGGTTTAAACGAAAAGCCTTAAAATTTTGAGAGCCACTGTGTGTTTGTCAGAACTGCAGATTATCTAACAATTAGCGGTGGGCCTTTATGCACATTCGTAAATAGATATAAGCACAAGTGGAACAAGAATTCCGCATCAATATTTTTCTAATAGTTTCGATGTGATTGCCCGCATTATTCTATAATTATTAGTTTAATTAAAAGCAGCTGATTTTACAGATTTTTATATTCTTGAATACCATTGTAAATGGTCATATCTGGTTTTTACTTTTTTTCAATAAATGTTTATTTATTCGTTTCTTTTTATATTGGACATTGTTGCGGATTCGTACCGACTTTCTATTATTGAGACTCACGGTCTTAAAATGATTGCTATTGCAGAAATGATTCCTAAAGTTTTCTTAACTGTCATTTCACAATTTTTTTATACTCTCCTCCCCGCAAAAAGAAAATCACGAAACATAATAATCTAATCTGGTCCAATCAAGAGCAGCTTAACCAAGAAATCTCATAATTATAAGTAAAACGTGCAGAAAAAAAAGGTCTATATTCAGAGTATATACATATGTACATACATAACATCTTAAATATTTCTTTGCATTTGCATAAACTTATTTGTTTTTTATAAGCAAAGTGCTTTCAAAGTTTACCAATCGTTTTATATTCATTCAAAATAAAAACAATAATTTTAAAAGAGAACTAAAAAAATTCTAGTTTGCGACCGTGACAGGACTCGAACCTGCAATCTTCGGATCCGAAGTCCGACGCCTTATCCATTAGGCCACACGGTCTATATAATTCAATTAGCACAATGCTGCATATCAACTTTAGATTCCAGAGTGTTTTATACATTATCGATAATTTTATAATCGAAGGTTGCCAGATGCAACTTAAGTAATAATCAACTCGCTTTGATGGCTGAATTTCGGTGTTTAGTTTTTGCTTGTTAAATTTTCTTTGTTCATATTAAAATTTGTACTACAATTATAATATTATACGTCAAAGAGCAACTAAGTCCGATGCAAGCAGAATTGAAAAAAAACAGTTTTCCAGTGAAATTCATATGAAGTAAATTTCTATTATATGAACTTTTTTTAACATTAATATTTTTAATTGAATCTGATGAGCTCTCAAACCAAACTGAAACATAAAGTCCATTAGTAGAAATGGGCTGCTGGCTTGCCGTTGGTCTTTAGAAGCCTATTTTGTCTGTTTTCAGCAGGCGGATTTGAGTTGTTGCATGGGCTTAGGTATTAGCCAAAGGTTTCGTATTTTTGTGCTACATTTTCAATCTCTTCTCTGATGGTAGGTATATTTAGATCTGTATGGATATTTTCGTTACGCATGCACCAAGGTGCGCCCGTTATTACTCTTAACGTTTTTGATTGGAACCATTGGACTATATCTAGATGCTATTTATACAGTGCATAAAGATAGTCCGAAATTCTTGCAACAGACATTTGAAAAGATCATATTAGAGTGAAAATTAAAGCAATGTTAAGAAAATTTGATACGATTTCAACAATTTTCTACTATGAAACCTTTATTTATTTACCATTTTAAGAATTTCTGAGCCCTGCAAGTTATGAGTTCAAGAATTTACCCACGTAAAGGCATACCTGTCGTAATAGACTACTAAAATCCTATAGTTACAACGATGATCGGGCCTTTATACCGGAACGACCCAGAGTTTCATCCGGACAAGGACTTCCACAAGGTCTGCCACTCCCGCATTATTCGCCGAAAACCAATTTGGGCAACATTTTTACCGTTACTACTACAATAACAACGTCAACAACAAGAGTATTTGTGCACGAAATTATTTAGTTTTGACATATGATTAAATCAATGACGTAACTGCCAAATATCAAATTTTTGGGCAGAGTTTTCCAAAATTATACACATTATACATATACATAGGTGTAGAAATTTTAGGGCAAGGTATGGTATTTAATAATACTCGTCAGATTATCTTTCATAATTTCAAATTTTTGCAAATTAATCTTATCTTACTTGATTGCCATTCCGATATATTAATTATTTGTATTTGATGATGCACACTAACTTGAAAACAAAAATTTTACCGAACATAAGCCGGCTCCTGCACCTTAACACCTTTGCACAAAATACATTTAGACATGTTGCTTAACATATTGTGGCCTATACATGTTTGAGAATTTAATCTTGAGATGCTACATGCAGTTAGAGGACATACACTTAAGAGCATATGCAAGTGTGTTATATGTCCCAAGAGCTCATCTAATACTCACCCACCTGTACACACAACAAATTTGTCCTGAGACACAAATAAAACTACGTATAAAATCTGGTGTTGTGTACTCGTTTTTTTTTTTAGTTTATTATTAGATTAAATTTATTCCTTTACAAATTCAATTTAGTCGATCTTTACAGTTACTATTACTTGAAAAATCTGCTAGTTTCTAAAAATTAATACCGAAGCAACTATTTGCGATAACACAAATTTATTTGTTAAATGAATGAGCTTCTACAATGCAATAATATGTATGTATGTTTATTCGGGCTGACTCAACGCACCGTCATTTATAAGCTTATTAGGAGAGCTTAAAAAAGCAAAAAATAAAATAATAAGAACTGCTGCATTTCAACTTCAATATTGGATAATTGTTTTTTAAACAAAATTGAAAAAGAGAGAATATGAATCAGGAGAATATATGATTTCATTACTTTCTAAAAATGCAAGTAAAATTACAAAATTTTCGAGTTGTACAGAAATCTGAGGGGAATCGAAAATTTTATTTAATCCGGGCGTCAGTTTTTAATAGTGCAATTTAAATTCATTTAGCATAAATATATTTGATGTTTATGCTAATTAAATAGATAGAAAACAGCCCACTTTTAGGCAAAATAATAAATTAGAAAGCATTTTTTAAACCAACTTAAGGTTGTCAAATCAAATTTTTCTCATAAGTGATTATAATATGGTTTTGTTTCTACCATTGAATGGATGGGCTTATTATTTGGAAATATATTAGATATTCGTTATTTTAGCATTTTTATTTAGGCATTAGTAAAATTATAAATATTAATTTTTTATTGTAAATATTGAATCTTTTCATTCGAATTTGCATGTAAAGAACAGTAGAATCCAAACGGCGCTTTATTGGTTGTTATTTTATTTCAATAATTTCTGATTCATTCATTCATTATATGTATTATATTGATACCTATAATCGCCCACAATGCAAGATCTGCGTTATCATTTTTTGTTTTTTTTTCATATCCACTTTGATCTACATGTCCACCTAAATTCCCCATAATCATATTTATTGTATATCAACTGATGTGTAAACAAAATCTAGAAACTCCGCTTCTGTTTCAAGTTTTCTGCTTCACTGGTCATGGGCACGACAGGACGACTTACTTTCTCTAAACACCCCCACCATAATAGCAACTATCTCTTGTTTAATTTACTCCACATCCATTGAAGCATCATCCATTGGATTATGTGCCGCTTTATCGTTTTCTTTTTCTGCATTCTCACCATTTTGTTCACCCGATCCAGGAGCATTGGCATCTTTCGCAGGCGCTGGTTTCGCAGCAGGTTTTGGTTTTGGACGATTAACAACCGAATTGACGCAGCTATTCAGTGTCTGAACTTCATGACGTATGTCGGCCACTTTTACGGGGCTATCATGCATACGCGGTGTTTGCGTAAACTTTGACATATGAACATCAAGCCATTTCTGCGCCTTATCAGCTGCTTCAGAGATATTCAAGAATTCAGCTTCAGTGAGGTGGTCATATTTAGCGACGCCCTTTTTAAATTCATTGATAGCACCGCGCGCTACCTGGATGCTATGGTTCAGTTCATCGAAAGCAGCTGGTGCATTCTCGTAATCATTGGCGCGTTCTTTTATGGGATCAGTTTGGCTATGAAGTCCTTTTAATTTATTTACATAAGTGTCACGGTCGCAATCTTCTCCTTCTTCGTACAACCAGTTCTCTAGATCATTGAGTTGAGAGCAGATGGCTTCACGATCAGCTTCTAAAACATAACGCTCAAGTGGACCTCCCTAAAAAATATAAGATTCCAATTAAAACGTTTTAATCATCAGCAATTTCTCTTAAATATAAGTAGATAGGCTTAATTAAGATATTTTAAGTAATTAAAATAAAGTTTGGGAATTAGTATACCATAAATAAGCTTGCTGTTTGCAGAGGAAGATCCAATGCTATTTAAGTTTAACATTTAAATCTCAAAATTATTAATATCACGTCAGCATCGGTCTTCCCTCCACCTCCGCCTACTTGTTTTTCTTGTTTTTTTTTCTTCATATAATGATTAATTGGCTAACCAGATTGAAAACATATATTTACTCTTACCTGAAGCTTATTACGCATATCGTAAACATACTCCTCGAGGGCATTTCTAGCGTCAACGCGTTGAGTCTCGCGTGCATCGTTTGCAATCATTTTTGACTCCTGCTGGACCAAGTTTTGCAAGTCAGGCGATGAGAAACCATGAGTCTTCACTTCCATTGGAAGCTCAATTAATTTAGTTGCCTTCTTTTTCTTTTCGGTACCCTGCAAATATTTCAATATAAATTAATTAAAAATATTTATGTGCGCTTGAATTAATTTAACTTAATTTTACAAATATTATTTGTAGGAAGGAAAGACGTCTTGTCCATATGCATATTGCACGACAATAATGTGCACATGAGTACAAAGAGAGGAAACAGCTCAAACAGCAACAGCCTATGGAAATTGGTAAAACTAATAAGCAAAACCCTTCAGCTAATTCAAGTTTAATTGCTGGTGTGCAGTTATTTGTTATGCATCTAAATTTTGTAAAACAGCAAAATATAAGATAGCTGGCAAATGTACAATGATTCTAATTCATATTTAGAAGATAATAAACATATAAAGTAAACATATTTATGTATGTAGAAATAGTATTTATTTTATTTTGAGTACATATAAAAACACGATATTTTAAAAAAGAAACTTGTAAGCATTCTGTATGGATTAAATAAATATTGTGGTACATATATGGTGTAGCCTTAAGTTTATTAATCAACCTCACTTTAAAATATCACCAAAACTTTCACTGAAAAGCAATTTCGTTAAAAGGTGGAGCACACAGGGTGTAGGCATGGCTTGTGAGCGGTCTTCTTTCTCATTTTATTGTTTATAGTTATAAAAAAAAAACCATGTATTAAATGTTATCATAAACGAATAATAACTCATGTGTTTTCTACTTTGCAATGCTATTTTGGATGCAACATTGGTATATTAAAAAAAATAGAAGACTCATGAGCTTTTATTTCGTTATTTTATTTTTTACTTGCTAGAAAACGTACCGAACTAAACCAGCCCTTGACCCGCTGAGCCCACCCTTGTCCTCCAGGTGATGAGGCTGTTGATGTATTATTATCTTCCTCATTTTCATTACATGCCTACGCAATTATATAAAACAACAAACAAATCAATCAAATTGAAAGAGTCAATTGTAATATTCTTGTAATAACTTTACCAACTCGCTAAACTTGAATAACAGTATTTCAGGGACCAGACAAAAATTCTTAAGCGAAAGGATTACAAAATGAATAGGAACATTGAAACGGGCAATTGCAATAGTTTGTGAAATAGTGCAGGGGAGAAAATGAATGGAAAAAAATGCAGAGATGATATAATGTAAGATATAGTTGTATATGAATTTACAAACATCCAAACGTATAAACCATTTATGCTTACAAATTAATAGCACCATTAATGAATGAAAGCAAATAAACATGCATAATCTTAAAATATATGTTCAAACTTACTACATATACATAGGTATATTTTATTAGTTATTAAGGAATCATAAATTAATAAAATATTGAATTTCTTATGCCACAATTTTGTTCATATAAACAAAACCGCTAAAGTATCTTGAAGACAGTTTACAAGTTCTATCCTGTTGACAGCATGTTACATTAATTATGCCTACTCTTTGAAATTTTATTTATTTATTCTTTTTTAATTTTTTTTTTATTTATTTTTTAATTTTTTTTTATTTATTTTTTAATTTTTTTTTTATTTATTTTTTAATTTTTTTTTTTATTTATTTTTTAATTTTTTTTTTTTATTTTTTTTTTAATTTATTTTTAAATTTATTTTTAAATTTATTTTTAAATTTGTTTTTTAATTTACTTTTTATTTATTTCTTATTTATTTCTTATTTATTTTTTATTTATTTCTTATTTATTTCTTATTTATTTTTTATTTATTTTTTATTTATTTTTTATTTATTTTTTATTTATTTTTTAATTTTTTTTATTTTGTTATTTATTTATTTTTTTTATTAATTTATTTTGTCATTTTTTATTTTTATTTTATTTATTTTTTTATTATTTTATTTATTTTTTTATTATTTTATTTATTTTGTAATTTTTTTTATTTTATTTTTGTTTATTTTATNTATTTTTTTATTTTTGTTTATTTTTTTATTTTTGTTTATTTAATTTATTTTTTTTTAAACTAATGTATTAAATTTTGTAAACTAAACCATCATAAGCTTTTATTTCGAGCAAATAAGATTTGATAGCAAGGCTGACCCAAACATATAATTTTCGTAAACGCGTAGACCTAGCACAGAAAAAATTTCCGTACATATATGAAGAATAGGTGAGTACCCAAAATGTAGAAGAATAATATGAAACTTTACTTTATTAAAAATATAATCCCTTTTCTATTGCCATTTTTATCCCTTAATTTTATGGCTGATTTAATTAAAAAGATGTGTGTCAAGTCAAATACAATATTATTTTACATTGTGAAATTAAAAAGTTTTTCAATAACTTGCTACAAACAAATGGAGAAAATAGCTTTTTAGTACGGTCATATACAAAAAAAAGCATTGTTATCATCATTTCTATTGTCACAACTACTAACTTAGCATTTTGAATAAAAGCGCCGGTAACCATTACTCCATCAAACAAGCATTAAATGTGATAAGTTGCTGAACTTACCTCTTGTTGGACATCCATTGGTTCACCGCCATTACCAGCTTGCTGTTGTTGTTGATCACCAGCATTGCCCTTTTCGTCGTTACCCGGTGCTGAGCCGTGTTCGCCAGCGTTGGCTGCAGCATTGGCAGTTTCGTCTTCCTTCTTGTCAACAAGTGAAGCACTTGAAATTAGAACAATGCCATGGTGATTGATACGGACTTTCACTTTAACTTCTTGATGTTCTCCACGCTCATTTGGCTTAACATCTTTAATGAACCATTTACCGATAACTGGGTCTGGGAACGGTATAGCTTGTGCATATTGCACAGTCATTGAGAAAGGTTCTTTTCTATTCAGCGTTAGCAATCGGCTAAATGGAGCCGAATGGAATGCGGGAAATACATCTATTTCACCGCCTGCTTGGGATCCCTCACCGTCCCAACTCACTTTAACAGCATAATTTTGAATGTCAGTCACTCCAAATTCACGAACACGAACTGCAGGCGACATAATAGCACACTGCAATGCTGCTCCGCGTGAAACTGACTCATCTTGATTTAAAGTTGTACTGGCAGGTTTACCAAAGACCTATATCATTTTATTAATTTACGTTCATCAGTTAATATACCACAGTAACACACAAGTATTTCTTACCTGTTCGATAAGATGCTTTATCGCCGGAATACGAGTTGTGCCTCCAACAACTTCCACCGAGTGTATGTCATCCAGTGACAATTTGGAATCCTGCAATAACTTAATGAATGTCATCTCGACACGCTTAAATAGATGCGCGGACAATTCCTCCATTTGCGTACGTTGCATTGACGAGGAAACATCAACATCATCCATAAAACATTCTATATTAATCGGCAGCTTTGTACTGTTTGCAGACATTTGCTTTTTCAATTTCTCAATTTCCGTAAGCAAACGTAGATAAGCACGTGGATTTGTTTTGGCGTTTAACTTATAACGATCATAAAATTCTTTAGCGAAATGCTCCGCCAAAACATTGTCGAAGTCACGTCCACCAATCTGATCCCAAGCGCTTGCAAGCATCTTCAATTTACCCTTAGTAAAGGCGCATACGCTAACTTGAAGTGATGAATTACCGCAATCGACGAAAACGACATTTCGCGGCTTGTTATCCTCAGGCAAATCTTGTTTGTAAAAACCATAAGAAAGCGCTGTTGCTGTAGTTTCGTTCATGAGACGCAAAACATTGAGGCCTGCAATTTGAGCAGCATCCAGTAATGCCTTGCGCTCAGAGTTGGTGAAATATGCTGGGCAAGTGATAACACAATCATTAACCTGAAAGTTTAATTAGTATTTGATTATTTTAATATCTAATAATAAAATCAAAAAAATTTTGCATAGCACAAACCTGTGCTTGCAAAGCAGCTGTTGATGTTTCTTTTAGCTTAGTAAAAAGCATTGCTGTCAATTGTTCGGGAGAAAAGTACTGCTCTTGATCCAAATAGCTAACTTTGAAGCCAATACTGCCATCGGGACGTTGATCGACTTTAGTTGGAATGCTGCTGAGTTCACGTTGTACGTGTGGATCGTTGTATTTACGTCCTAACAAACGTTTGAAACCGCTCACTGTATTTTTCATGTTTGTGACTTGTTGATTTTTTGCAGCCACACCAATGATACGTTTCCTTCCATCAAAAGCAACAAAGGAACTGAAAAAATTAAGTTAATGATAAAAAATGTTTTTCGGCAAAAAAAAAAAGAAATTAAGTTTAAGAGATTTGTAATTTTTCTTAGTTATCGAAGTTATCAATTTACCTACTATCTAAATTCAAGTTTTTATTAACTATTCCTTGTTTAAATCAATAGTGCGCAAAAAAAAAAACATTAAAAATTTCTAACACTATATTTGTACGTAAGTAGGTATGTATGTATGTATATGTACATGTATGCACATAAATGGTCTTTCATATATCTTTTTTGTTGGTTATGGAAAAAGCCGGCTCAAGGTGACGCCAGGTCGTTGTCTATTTTTGCTCCCATACATTTTGATCTGTATAAAATTCTAAAAACTAATAGAAATGACTCAACAGAGAATTTATCTTGATTTTTACTTCAGCACACTAATAAACGATGACGTAGTCGAAACAATCAATTTTGGCACCAACATATACCTTTGCACATACATACATATATACTTTGTAAAATAACGATAAATAGAATAAGAATTTTAATGCCTTGTATTACCTCTTCGGTTTAAGATATAAAAGAGGTGCTGTCAAACAAAGCAACTTTTATTTCATTTAACGCGTATTAATATCAAAAAGTTTGTTTTGGCTTGAAACAAACCGAAATTAATTTCTACAGTTTAATTTCTCATAATATCAGAGAATATGTAAATTTAGCTTAATGATATTAAATATTTTTCTTGTACGAGCTGCACGGCATCTTTTATGGCCGGAATTGAATAGTATTGATCCGGACAACGTTTACTTTCTTCAAGATGCCGCACAAGCAACGAAAACTTCCGATTTTCTAAGGGAAACGAGTTTATTTGAATATCTACATAACACATCTTATTGGATAACTAATTAAAATCGAAGTAGAAAACATCTTAAAATAGGATAGTGTTGTGCACTAAACTGGTCAATTTAAATAATGTTCCAAATAATCACAATGTTCTGTAGATTATAAAAGAACACTACCTATGCACACAGGTGTACATATGCACATAAGTGTTTCATTGGTAATAATCTTTGAGTAGAATTGCATTAAAATATTTAATTTTCAACTTGTAAATGCAAAATATAAATAAAGTTTTTTGCAGACGTAGTCCTTCGATAATTATTTTACTTAACATAATTTTGGATGGGGGAAGGATATCCTATCAAAATTCAAACTTAATTCTAAAACTTAAAAACGCCATAAAATAACTAATTGATTTTTGTAGATGCTAAAAGGATTAAATGGGTTACAAGTCAAAAAGAATTTAAAACAGATGGCTTTTAAACAACTAAAATGTTAGGGCGTTTTATATTAACATACAAACTACATTATGTATTCTACAAAAGCGATAAGAGAATCGAACCTAACCTTAAAGTAAAGTATTCGGCAACATGCAGAGAATTTTGCAATTTGTAATAAATAAATTATGAAAATTAATTTAATGTATACTTACGGTGTTGCGCGCAAGCTGTAGTCGTTTGCGAGTGTCTCAATCCCACCAGCTTTGGCGGCGGCGACATAGCAAGACTCATTGCCAAAATCGATTCCGATGACAGACATTTTTCAACTGTCTTATTTTCACTGATGGACCAAATAAATCTTTTCAAATGGTTTATGTATAATCCAGCACTAGCAAGCAGATCACTCCTGCAATATGTTTCAGTTGCTCTTCACTTTGAAAAAAATCTGCTAATTTTCCTTTCCGCACTATGAGTCACAAATTCTATAAATTTATTAACAATGAAAAAATTACAATTGAGCACAAACAAATTTCCATTCGATGTTTTTTGTTTTCTAATCAAGAAGGTTACAGAAATCACAGAGGAAAGTCAGTACAAGTGATTGAAAATATTTACGATTTTTTCCTTTCTAGAAACTTCAAATCAACTCTTCAAAAACCTATTTTTCAGCCACCACCACGCGACTCAACCACTCTTTACTAAGAGCTCGCCAAACCGAACATGTGGATACCAAAACGAAAAGTTTGCGCCGGACAGACACCCTTCCCTTCATCTACCCCTCATAGACTTTTTTTTATACAAATTTTACCATAGCTACTAACCTAGTAAAAATTCACAATATGTAGGTACATTAAATTAAGTACTTATTATTTCAAACTTGTCTAAAGATTTACTCGATGATTTTAATTTAATGTTCACTATGCAATGATAAAATTGCTAATTTACTGTTTTATTTTCTTAATTCATTTGCTGTAGTATTTTTTTGCGATTTCTTCCCTTTATGTACATATGTATGTATATATGTACGTTGGCTTTAAATATTTCTCTGTTAATTATTTCCACATTTTCGTACAACCTTCAGAAAATTTTTTAATATTTGTAATTAAAATTATTATTTGATATACCTTCTTTTATGAAAAATTATGTTTCACTTCTCTGGAAAAGTGTACGTGTTCTCCACGAAAATTAATTCTACCACGATATTTCTTTTCTTCAGCGTGTTTTAATGAGTACTAAATGCTCGTTTTCACCATTTCTTTTGATTGTCGTTTGGTAATATTTCCAATAGGAAATTTTTGTTCTAGAAGTTTATGGAAGCACTATAGATGGCGCTAGTCCAAGGTTGCAAATAATTTTCCTACTCCCGTATAGTTAGAGTGTTGTCAATAATCAGTAGTTTATACAGTCACTCTGAAATTTAGTATTCATTAGCAAAGAACGTTTAATATTGTGTTNTATAGATGGCGCTAGTCCACGGTTGCAAATACTTTTGCTGCACCAGTATAGTTAGAGTGTTCTCGATAATCAGTTGTTTATACAGTCACTCTGGAATTTCTGTATTCATTAGCAAAGAACGTTTAATATATTGTTACCAATTTGCTGAATCAACCTCGATGATTTTCTGAATTCTTCAGGTATGATCTCTGGATTGTTAAATAAGATATCGCTAACTTAATTTGCAGTTTCTTTCGTTATAAAGAATTTATCTAATGTCCCTTAGTTACTCAGTAATTCACAATTTAATTACAATGCACTTTACTAGATACAATGACTTGCATAAACTTTCACAATTTATTTTATTTAAATGTTATCTCCAACGCGTTTACTTTACGACTCTATACTGATGTTGTCGACAACGAGCTCACTTTGTAACTAACTTAACTTGGCAGTTGGGTGTCGCCCTTATATAGCAGTCGGCTGCTCGTAGACGAAAGTGTAGAATAATCGAGTTGTTCGCTATCGAAGGTTCTCGTTTATCGTTCTAAAATGTACTAGTTATCGGCTTCTCTCTTTCATCTGACATTCGCATCGCATTTTCGCAACAGTGTTCTATTCAAAGATGACTAGATACGAAACTTACTCAAAATCACTCAAATTGCAGCTGAGAGCGTTCCCCCATCTCACATTCTAATGTTGGCAGCAGTGTCAGATCGGGGAACATTCAACATCTGTTGTGCAAAACGCACCAGTGACACTATGGCAATAAAAAAATTCATTATTTTTGTTTCAAATGAAATTTGCTTCAGCAGTTAATATTAAAAAAATTATTGTAATTATATTATGAAAACTTAATATAATTAAATATTGAATTGTTTCTTAATAAAATATTTTAGTGAAATTGCAATTAAAGACGCCGTTGTTTGTAATAAAACACCCAAAATATACCTAAAAATCCAAAGAAGTCATCAGAAGATTTATCATGCCTGGCTGATGACTTAAGTAATTCCCTTTCATCTTGAAAAATGAGCACATTTTTAGAACTTAGTTTGAGATTAGCATCAGCTATCCTACGGAAAACTTCTTCCAAATTGATCAGGTGTTATTCAAAAGTTTTACCTGTTACGATGATGTCGTCTAGGTCCACAAAACATATTTTCCAATGTAGTCCTTTGAGCACATGGTCCATTAATCTTTCAAAAGTGTCAGGAGCGTTGTATAATCTAGAGGACATCAAGGTGAATTGTCAAAGAACGTTTCCAGCACTGAATGCTGCCATCTCGTTATTTTCCTAAAAGCTCTGCGCTTCAGTCAAGTCATTGTCAAACCCGACGAGGAGCGATGACCGAGTGGAAATTTCTTTCAGTGATCGCGCGTCGTCGGGTCCGAAGAGATGCGCGGGCCATTTCAGCCGACTTTTCACACTGCATCCTTCGCTTGACAAAATGAAACGACGAATAACCCGCCGCTTCCGCAAACTGCCGAACTTCAGCGCAACGTTTGATTTCTCCAGGGAAGGAGTTCAGGGGGCCGTCTGGAAGACGAAAACCTCCAAATCTATCGGCTCTTACGAAAAAAGCATGCGTGCTAAAACATGTAGGACCAGCGTACTGCTCCCGACTTCTAGACACCAACAGCACATAAGCATGTCTTCCGCAAAGTACACTGTACCACAACAGCATTTAACGTCATAAACACTCGGTAATTCAATGGCCTTACCTAAAACCGGCCCTGTGCTCGAACTGTCCTGGTGGCGCTGGGTTTGTCAGAAGCTTTTGAAACTGAGGAGTAGTAAAGCTTCTGGGTATGCAGTTACAGTCGCGTGGCTATACTCAATTTCTACTCTTTTGTCCACGTCGCACTCCACGTGTGGAGCCTTGGGTCGCGGCTAATAAGAGAGTTAGCTTCAGTGGAGCCACTCCGTCTTATTCGTTAAAGTCTAAATGAACCGCTGGGCTTGTCTGCCACGTAGAAACTAGCACCAATGAAAAGGAAATTAATGCCTCGGATGAGATACCCCTTTTTTGCTGACGACCCCTGCAAACAAAATAAGGATTACGGGTATGCACCTGGAATGACCGGTCCCTTAATTGGAAAGGTGCCGGTGTCTAGCTGGTTGATGTCCTCATAAAAATAAAGACTGACATCACTGCTGTCAAGTACTGGCATTCACCTCGGTGGATGAACGTCTCGCCACAATCCGCATCAAAGCTTAATTTTTTAACATATCGTTCATTTGCGCTCCGATGGAGAAGAAGGAAGATTTGGTCATATATACCTTTATTGAGAGCGGTCCCCGCCACGATGTGGAAATCGTGTTTGGCGACTTCGCTGGGGTATGGTTGTGTGTAGTACTAGATTCTAGCACAAGAAAATACATCAAGCTACTTTTTCTGTCCTCAGAAAACAAAAAAACAGATCGATCATATTGGGATGGACGGAAGACATGTCTCAAGTATTCTTGACGTACATACACTCCGAGGACCCAACATCGACTCGCACCCGCCTCTATGTGACAAAGAACTCCTGTCAACAAACACAAACAAATTTCGACGTCGAAAAGCTGCAATCACAACACCAACACCAGAAGCACAGTCGGCATAGGGAAGGACCCCTTCGAGCCGTTCGATACCAAACTAAGTTTCAGACATCGTATGACTTGTTTAACTCATTGCTGGAGTTCGAGAGAAAGTAGAATTCTATCAGGGATGCGCCGATGCTATTGACACAATTGGCCTCAACAACAGCGCCGAGAGTTCTGTTGGGTAGGTTATGGGTCTAGTTGTGAACGAAATATTCCATGACATCACACAAACAGTCATCGCATTCGCAACTCGGAATCGGTTCCCACGTCATTGTTGACAGTCATAACTTGGAGGTCGTAGAAATTTCGTCTATCTAAGACCCAGCATAAACACTAATAATAATGTCAGCCTTGAAATCCAGCGCAGAGTCAGTCTTGCAAACAGCTGCTCCTTTGGACTGATCTGGCAATTGAAAAGTAAAGTGCCCTCTCGACGATCGAAGATCAAATTCTACAACTAGCTCATCGTTCCCGTCCTACTATACGGTGCGGAAGGATGGACGATGACAACATCTGATGAGTCGGCGCTAAGAGTTTTCGAGAGAAAGGTTTTTCGTAAGATTTATGTTCCTATAACTGCGCAAGCGATGTCTACGCCAGTAAATTAAGTATGTTTTGACAATGTCAAACAGAAAGGTTTCCTTGATCTCATTTGCCTATGACTGCTCGATATGGGCGTCTGGCCAAGATATTGATGACATTTTTTCGAAAGTAAACAGCTATCTAGACGACCTATCCCACTTCTTCACTGCACGACAACTAAAAATACAGCCCACTAAATCCTTAGCTTCCCTTTTACTCGCTGGACGAAATAATACAGGCTGGAACTTGATGTGAAGGGTGATGGCGTCAAAATTCTTACCACAAACAACTCAAAGTTACTGGAAGTCACATTTGACAGCCTGCACTCCGCATTCACGAATTTGTCCACCTGTCGGAAGAGTCGAAAAAAATCCAAGGAGTGTCACTCCCGCAACATTCCCCAAAAACTCCATCGGGGATTATTTTTACGTTACGACAACTACAATAACGGCTTATAGACAGCCACAGAACGGCAATCACCAAGAGTCAGTTAATATTCGCAAAGACTCCATTCCTGTGAATGGCGTACTCCGAGTTAAGTTACCAGAATGGGACAATGTCCGAAAACGGCACCAGGCAGAGCAGGAATTGAATCTGATTAATATAAATTCCCGACTATGGTCCGACACGTGGGTAACGGTACTGCCATAGAGACTGGGAGCGCATTTGAGAGCTGCTAGCATGGGCCCACGTAACGTGTGGACCACTTCCTTTGTGTGTTAAAGCCTGAACACATCTCAATATGACTCCAGTCATTGCACTGGTTGCATCTAGCTGAAGTGAAAAATGGTGGAGACTTTTAGAGCAAATGCGGCGGAAAGAATCCGGCGACCCAGGGTTGATTTCGACGCTAACACTGATAAGAAGTATTTGTAGCAGCCCAGCTGCGAAGTGTTCCTCCATTTGTGACAGACCAATGTTGCCTGTTGTCCAAAAGGGTAACAACCCTTTGTTGAGTAAAATCGGGGTCAACTCCGTGCCGTGCGTATAACCAACTTCTTTCGCATGCTTATGATGTAGTTAACCTGCTGGGTTCGTTTTGATATTTGTGCTTTTCGCGCGAGTTCAAATCACTTTCACTGAAGCCCATATTTAGAAATTCACGTACTCACGTTTAACTAATTAATAAATTTTTTTTTTGAGCTACTTTTGTACCCTTCATATTTTGCTATTTATCTTCATCATTTCCATCGAAGCCAACAAAGAAAATTCAAAGTGAATTGAGCTTATATTTTCCCATCTATTAATATTCGTTGATAAAACTGCTGTTGAAGAAATGAGCTCCTGGGACCTCCTTGGAAATATTCTGGATAAATCTGGCGTAGATGATCGCCTGCTTAGCTGTAAATGCACTTTTCGGATAGTCAAGTAACGATATTGGTACTTGCGTATTATCGCTAAAAAAGTACTTTTGTGCAAACAATTTGGCGTTCCTTAGAAAGTGCTGTTTTGCATCCGATATTTTCAGACATTATCCACTGCAGGGAAAGTGTTTGGTGTCATGTTCTTAGTATCCCTAATGATATGTTATTTTATTAAAAAACTTTTAGATATCAGCCTGAGACGTGACATCTGTTTTGATACTTACGTACATACAGATTATAACATATAGGATGGAAATAATCAGCCGACAATTAATGATGTAACATACATACATCACAAAGTATCTTTATATTATAATGAAACTATCACTTAATTTTCTCATCAAACAATTGGACAGTAGTTAAATAAATGTTTGATATATAACAATGGTTTCAATAGGGTCGTGAGCTATTAGTAGCTTTCCACCCTTTCATTCAACGGTAAATAAGCCCATTTAGGAAAAAAGACTTTCAGCTGGAAGAAGCGCTATGCCTTTATTTTGCCCAAAGCAAAAGGAGCTAAAACAAGCCAAATTTTTAGAAGTCAACATTAGTTTTCCACAATAATTCTAATACTAACCAATTCGGATGGCTACGCATAAAACCACGAAGAAAACGAAATTGTTTCGAACATCTGCTTTAACACGCTTCTTCTCCTCAGCTGGATCAATTTGTGGTGGCATGCGGAACATATTGCTTTAAAGTGTTAAAATTGTATTACCGAACAGCCTGAAATATTTCTCAAAACAATAATTGAAATTTCACGTGTTTGTTTTACTAAAATTATAATATCGTAAGCGAATTGATAGTATTATCGATAAGGACACTGATAATCGATAATTTAGTTCGACTAACTTAGATACAGGGAGGATACAAGGAGTGAAATGAAAATAATTAAAAAATAAATAAGAATAATATTGTTGCGAAAATGCGAGGCGAATGTCAGATGAAAGAGAGAAGCCGATAACTAGTACGTTCTAGAAACGATAAAACAAGAACCTTCCATACCGAACAATTCGATGCTTCTACGCTTTCGTCTGCGAGCAGCCGACTGCTATAAAAAGGCGACACTCAGCTGCAAGTCAAGTCAATGATAAAGTGAACTGGTTGGCGTTAACATCAGTGAAATCGTAAAGTAAACGTGTTGGGATTACATTTAAGTAGAGTAAATTGTGAAAGTTGATGATAGTGATTGTAAATAATTAAATGTATTGTAATTGAATTGTGAATTACGGAGTAAATAAAGGATATTAGATTAATTCTTTATAACGAAAGATACTGCAAATTGCATTGGCGTGTTTTTATTTAACAATCCAGAGATCGTACCCGAAGGATTCAGAAAATCATCGAGGTTGGTTTAGAAAAATCGTAACAATATTAATGAAATGAATTCACCCTGAAAGAGAAAATGAAAACGACTAGTCTTCCATTTAAGGTAGGAAATGCGGCAACAAAAGCTACCGTGTTTGAATCCCGACTTCTGAGTGACTGGTACCTTAAAACATCTCTCGAGTGTTCATTCGTTTGATGTTCGGGTTACAATCAATTCTTTACAAATTTAATTTATCCCCTTTCGATTATGGCACATTTAATATTCTATGCCGAGCTCCTTTTAATTAATTAATTTTCAATATTTTAGATGTTGGTTGGTGTAGTATTCGAATTTTTTTTGCACACTCTCAACCACTCGGATATTGCGGCTGCTTTTAAAAAACTTTAATTTGATGAAAACTGACTGGGTTCATCTATCCTCAGCGCAACGTTCAGACTGATTCATTTAGTAGGGGTTTGGTTATATGTATTTACATAATTCACGCATTGTAACTGCTGAAATGATTTTGCTCTTCCGACAAATGGAGGGACCTACAGCGTACTCCGAGTTGTTTAAGTCATCGAAGACATCTGACGGGAGGTCCAGTAAACGACGGGCTCGGACCAGAGGGAAAGGGGGGTTTAAGAGGCATACAAATCGGTAGTATGTGTCGTGCGGACACACGTTAGGCATTTCGCGGTCAAGTCTGGAAGGTAGGAGTTAATTCGACTACAATATCCAGATCTGAATTATGCAAGTATTACTCTGGTCTCTGGCCGCACTTTATTTTGTAATGTTTTAGTTTATTTTATTTTGATTTACTTTATTTAATTTGGTTGAATTTTTATTTAATAAATGGAGCGGTCAGTCGAGTGTAACTTCCGGTTTTTATTTGTTGGATTTTTACGCCATCGACTTCGTCCAGTTGGTGAAAAGGGTAGCCGAGGAGTTCGCGGGTAGTAGCTGTAGTTGTCGTGCAGTGAAGAAGTGAACCGGCTGCCGTGAGACTTAAAATGTCCAATACTAGCACTGGGTAATTGCAGTGTCAAAGGTTTTAGACAAATCCAGTGCTACTAAGACGGTTCTTGTGCAGAGTCGGTTTTGGTGAAGGCCATGGACTATCTGGGTGTTTAAGGCATAAATACTTCACTCAAGTCCGGCGGTAGCAAGGCAAACCGTTTCAGACTTTGAACTAATAACTTTCACATTTACATATGTGTAGTGCTTATCTGTCTAGCATACTCTTGATTATTTATTCCTCCATGTATCAATGCGCCTCTCGAAAGCCTACTGTTCGAATAAAAAAAAATTATTGAAACTCACTTTTTCATTTATCGATTAAAATGCCTGATTTTTTATTTATGACTGAAGGAAAAATTACATAGGATTACTCATAATGCTTGCATATATAGAATATTAAATCTAAAATAGCATAGATGGATAAAATAGCCTTGTAATTAAAACTTTATAAATACATTCTGTCGATTTTTTATGTATAACGACACTATATTATTTATATATGTATATATGTATGTTACTTAAAAGATTATTGCATTTCGAAAATACATAAAAACCAAAAATCTTAGAATGTAGAATTTTGACGTACACGGAAAATTAAGAGAAATTTTGTGTGTAGTCAGCTTTGTGATGAGAACACAAGTAACTTGACATATAAGTTTTAAATACTTTTTTGTTGCATAAATATTTTCCATGAATGCACACACCCAACCGTTGCGATGAAAAAAGCGTAAATATTTGAAACTAATTATAAATCATCAGGTCCCTGTAGTTGCGCATTTATAGCAATTTTCATCTACAAGTGGTTGGGCGTGACTTCAAAGCGTTGTGTAAGCTGCCGAACTCGCAGATTCCAATTTAGTGTATGCATACGATCAAATTAAAATGATTGTTTCGCTACAATAATAATAACTTACTCTTGTTAGGATTACAACAGTTTAGATTATAACATAATTGAATCAGTAAAAATTGTATTGTTTAACCAATTGGTTAAATAATACAAATTTTACTGATAGTTTTGCGAAAGGGTTCTAACAATGTTCGAACTTTTCAAGGTTTGAAGTGTTATACTACTAGTTGATGATTTATATATATATATGTATTTAACTAATTAATGGCAAGTCCGGAATATACGTATATACATATATATATATTATATATATTTACATATATAGATAAATGCATAGAGATACACGATTAGTTGATGATTAATTGAATGTCATTTCAAGCATTCATATCGTTTGACCACTATTTCTTGGCCTTTGCGTATTAAAGTACTGATCCACTTCGGGATCGCTGAATACTCCTGTCTCGTTTTCCTCGTTAATATTATCGCCTTTCACAATTTGATCTTCAATCTTATTCACTACATAATTATTAGTCGTTGCTGTTGGCGTCGTATCTTGTCGTTCGGAAGGAATTTGGTTTGTCGCATATTCATCTATGTAGAAGGCTATAAGAGAGGTAAACAAAAAATTAAATTTTTAACAACATTAAGAAGACGATGATAAGGGGAGTTGGATTTGTGAGTTTAATGCTTGTGTCAATTCTACAGGACAATATAAATTCTACAACTACTGGAAAAATGAAATGGAAAACAATATAATGCAAAAGAAGAAGCATATGTACATAATACATGTTTTGTGTAAACGAAAAAATAATATAGTATGTACGTTCCAACGAATAGGCTTACTTTTTTATACACAATGTGCAAAGTTAAATTATATTTGGCGCACTATTGGAGATAGATATGGGCACATCAAATGTTATGGAATGATTGCTTTCACAGCTACTAAATGAAACTTAAATACATATATATATAGCTTTCTACTTGGCTATCCATGTACCACATAATATAATTGCTAGGTTATTTCCTTTATGAGGATAACGAATTGATTGATTCTGGAGATTCTTTTAAATGCTCGGTATTTAATTAAATTATTTTTTATATTATTTAGACTGATTTTTTTTTTTAAATTTAATACCATATAATAAAGATTAATATGATATAGATTTGAAAATTGAATATTGGAAAAATAAATCAATTATAACTCTTGAATGTTAGCTTTAATTTTTATGCTAAATAATAATTTTTATTTTTTTCTTTTCAAAGTGTTGTGTATGAGAAAAGAATTAAGAAATTGATTCTATGCAATAAAAGCAATATTCCTTATCGTGATAGTACTTCTACAGGATAGAATAGGACGGGCAAGGAAATAGGACAGGCAAAGAAATTAACAATAATGAAAACTACTAAGCAGATTAGAAGAGCTTATGAGCAAAAGTGATAAAATAATGTTTACTAGAATAGTCAGATCTAACTACATACAAATATAAAACAAGAAAGCAACTTAAAATTCAAAAAACTAATAAGCGGTTTCAATTCTTTGGGATATTAAAATTCCGGTGGCCAATTTACCTGTACATCATTTTATATTGTGTTACGTAAATAAATAATATTATTGGTTTACAAATAATCCGAGTATTTTAAGATTTTTGCAATAGTTCATAATCATTTGTTTAAAAAATATTTTCACGAATTTCTGGTTTGCTGGGTATAACTTGCACTGTAAAAGAAAAAATGCAACAAAAATTGAAGAAATTTGTTTTTCAACTAAAAAATGCTTGTGATTGTTTACGATGACGCACTTTTGCAATAAGATTACATAATGTATTATTCTTACAAAATCCATTCTCAAGTTCAATATTAAGTTTCTCGACATTTTAATATACAAATATATTAAAATTTTCGCCCGTTCTCATATTATTGAACTTCAGATATGATTGCTAAACTTATTTTGTGAACCTACCAGACTCTATGCCATTCCATTCGCTAACAACGTCATGATGATGTTGACGAGGATTTGGATGATCTTCGATAACACCTTCGTATAATTTCGGATCAGTGGCTAGTTTCTCGTCTTCGTCCATTTCGAATATTTCTGTCACTTTTACCTAAGTAACATCAAGTTTAATTAAAATTTGTCATTATGACACAAGTTGCTGCGATATTCTTACTTTATTTGTTAGATCGTCGGTATAATAATAAGCGTAAAGCGCATCGTTGTGAGTAGTTACTTTTAAAACATGTTCGTAATGGTCTACGTCTCCGTCTACCGATGGTGCGCCGCTGAAACCAGTTCATAGTTGTTATATATGTATGTATAGTAATAGTTATAAACAAATGTACAAATACTAGCTACTAATAATTACCATTATATTAATAATTATTTATTATAAATGGTTAGAAACTTACCACTCGTCAACTAATATTGATACTCTTGGTCCATAGAGACGGCTGGAGTGTAATAAACCGGTGGTGTCAAAGTGTGGCGAATCACAGACCTACATATACATATATTTATAAGTTTTTTTTTTATAAGAAAAAGTGAGCTTTTAAATTTCACGACTTGAGCTTACCGTCACTTTGCTTAATATCTCCGACTGCAACAATTCAATTATCTGTTTGAGAGCAGTTAAAACCTTCTCGCGAATGTGTTTGGCCAATATGGGTGTTAGTTCAACAATCCTAGGAAATGAAAAGAAATAAGGAGTGCGCAAACAGAGCGAAAGCAATAGTAATATGTAGGAAAGTCAATTTAAATAAGAGTTTTAAATTTTGAATTTGAGCAGTTGTTTCCAAGCCAATTTGGTCAGCCAATGCAGTTTATGAAATTTATATCCATGAAGGCTAATATAGACTACGCATATGTATACGGAATAAGACGCAAAATGAATGTTAGATAAAAGTATAATTTTATAGATATTTATTTTCGTTCTTTCCTTTTGATTCCGAATAACAATTAAACCAAAACCATAAATTTAAAGATGTTTATGTTTGCATATAAATAATTATTATTTTTATTAATTCGAATAACATAATTAATTATTGATTTAATATATACATATGTATGTGTATAAAAAACCAATGGTGCTAAATACGAGTACATGGAATGAATGAAATAAATGATTTAAAGAAAAAATTGCACATTTTCGAAATAAAATACAAGTTCACTAATATTTCGTTAAGATATTCAGGTATTTTCGTTTTTCGCATATTTAATAAGGATGCTTTATCTAGTGTAAAATTAACTATAGAAGTAGTAAAGCTATGGCAATAAAATTATACATATTCCTTTCGAACTACACTAACATTTACTAAAACATTTCAAATTTTTACTATTCGTTAAGCGCTCGCAAATGTCTTCCCAAATGGCATTGGAAGCTGCTTCACTGTTCTAGAATTAAATTACAAAACATTAAGTTTGAAAGAGAAGATTCCAAGACAAAGAATAAGAAATATATATCAAATTAACAACATTGTTTCAATTATAATTAAGACATGTTTCGAGTTTCGGTTCGATCAAATTAATTGGAATCGAAATAAATTACAGTTCTGGCTTTCTAGTTCTCGAATATTTCAATTTGGTTTCGAATGTACTGTTGTTGAAGTTATAATGTTATAACGGCTATTTATTTCGATTCATACAAAAACTTGATTGAACTGCAATCCCGAACATGCAATTGACTTAAATTATGAATAAAATTACTCTTTAATATATATATATAGGTATTTATACTTATAACGAATCTTTAATTATATTCGTGAACTTACTTTGATACTGTTGCCATGAAGAAATCTAAGGGTACTGTTGCTGGTAACGAAAGCAATTTTACTCCACGATGTTTGAATAACCAATTAGCCAAGCCCTTGTTAGCTTGCTCAATGTAATCCTGAATGACATCCAAAACAGTCTGTGGCATATTTGAGCTTAAAGCGTCCTAGAATACAAGTACAAAGACATATATGTGTATTTATAAAAATAAAATAAATATTGATTAAGACATACATTTCTATGCTTTTTGCACTCCCTACATTCTGGATCAAAGTCCTGGGGTTGAGCCACAGTTTCTGACACTACAAATGTCGACTGAACAGCTACACAACGACGGCAGTTTATCAGGTTGTTACGTTGAAGGAACTGCATCGCGTCATCGAATCCCTGCTGGCAGAATTTCGATAGAAATTCTGGACGTGGTGGGAATAGAATACGAACAAAGCGATTGACATTCTGACGCGATATTTCTATGCTTGTGTTTGCCCAATTCAAATGGAAGAGTTGAGAGCTTATATCACGTGGACAAATATCACTCTCACCGCAGAAAGGACTGACTGTAATTGTGTTCTCATCCAAAATTGGCAAATTGTTGGAAAAAGCACCATCCATATAACGTACACCTCGAAATCGTGGTGGTAGTATTCCTGAGAAGCCTGGTATAAAACACGCACACAGTAGTGCCTGTAAGAGTTCATCTCGGGACTCGAATTCTGAAATGATCACATTTTCACCATCATGTACACGGGTCATCGAGACGTGTAATCGTCCGCTAACACGCAAATGCGCATCCTCAGGCAAGTGCCTTTGTAAGCCTTCAAAGAGGCATGTCTGTATATTGAATGAGGGACTGAATGGACCAAGGGAATGACGGCGGGCTTCATTGACTACACGGAAGAAATCAGATGTCATGCTTCCTATAAAGATAAAAAATGAAAATTTAGATTTTTAAACACCCGATGATCTATTTTTATTATTTTTTTTTTTTGCTTGTAAATAATACCAAGTGAATAAAACGAACTATACAGAATGTACACTAAGTACATCGCTAAACTCAGATTCAAGGCATTTCAAGGTCAAACTTAGCACGAGTGACTAGCAGTGCGTACTAGCATTCGCAACGCGAGGGTTTGAGTCATAGTCTAATCAACATTCAAAGTTATAGAAAGCCAATTTATATACTTCCTTGATATGTTATGTACCATTATCTTAAATATTTCTTACTTCCTTAAAAAATTTATAAATATTGTAAAGTATATTATAGAAATTTCTATTAATTAATATAAAAATAATTTTTATTTACAATTATAAATATAGTAAACATATTTTCGATTGCTTTGGAACATAACAAAAACAAAATTGATTCGGAACGTTAACAAAGTTTTTCAAAACAAGTCTCTTGGCACAATAGAGGTCAATTTGAGTGGACGTCTCTATCTGTTGCACAATATTATTTGCTTTTTGCTATTTGGAAAATTGAGTGGATGTGTTTTTATTAATGAAAAAACCTTTTTTTTTGTGTATAAAATAAATATAATGTGTGGTGCTTTAACCTTTTCTTTTGGTATCTACTCTCATTCAAATGGCTCCAAACGGGTTTTTGTGCAATCTTTAGCTCTTGGTGCTTATATGATGGTCGGACTCGACAGTGTGTATGATTTCGGCAAAGATGACTAGATACGAAATTTACTCGAAATCACTCAAATTGCATCTGAGAGCGTTCCCCCATCTCACGTTCTAATATTGGCAGCAATGTCAGATCGGGAAACATTCAACATCGCACCAGTTGTAGTTTCAAAAGAAATATGCTTCAGCAGTACATATTAATAATTTCTTTAATTTTATTATTAAAACTTAATATAAGTAAATATTGAATATTTTCTGAAAGAAATATTTTACTGAAATTCCAATTAAAGATGACGTTGTTTGTAATAAAATACCCAAAATATACCTAAAAATCCAAAGAAGTAATTTTGCAGATTTTTGCGCGAGTTTCGTACTTAGTCATCATTGATTTCGGAATGAAACCAAAATTATGCATGATTAACAGTATGTGTGAGTGCCAAAACGTCAGTTGCAAGACAACCATACATTGTCACGTATTCCTAAATGCAACTGTGCAAACTTGAGTATCGCTAAGGCTTGTGATGCTTTGTTTTATCATAAATTTTTAGCAACAACTGCCGACCTCGGAGGGCAAATTTTTTGCGCTAATTATTATTTTTACACATTATGTTACCTAGATTTTTATCTTTTTTATATTTTAGCGAATTCACTGAAAAGTAACTTATTTGCACGAAAAGCGTTTCAAAATGTTAGAGTTGACAAAGTATTGTTGCAAGGCAAATTTATAGAATTCAGGGTTGCATTATAATGATGCGAATGCGAAACCGCAACTCAGACTTACGCGAGATCCAGATAAATAACGTCATCTTTTGGAAAAATAATGCATTTATTTTTACTACACCTAATATAATGACCATATATAGATTTGTATTGTATACCTATGTATGTACATATATTTATGTAGCACAGGAGCGGTATTCACTTAATTGATAAGAATGTATAAATGTTACTAGTAAAAAATAAACTGCATTTGTATAAGAAAATTATTGACGTAAATTGAAAGATTCGCTGGGGATAATTTTGTTATTATATTTGGAATGCTTTTAGCGTCAATGAACTTCAGTAATATATGTACATACAGACGTATGCATACCTAGGTTTCTAAATAAAATTTAGTGATAGATTACTGTACGAAAGTGAGTGGAGATTTTTGTATGTGTTAGAACGATGAAAATATCTGTTACAGATGTACATACATATATTTGTATGTGTGATGATGCGAATTTATCCATTGGAATATCTAAATTTACTTCATAAGGGATTTGAAATAAACAAGTCTATATTATATATTGAGAATTATTATTTTTTTTTTTTGGAAAAATCATTTTTATTATTTACAAATTTTTACGAGTCTCGGAACGTTCTAAACAACTAAGAAAATTTTAAAGAGGTTTTATGCTTACAAGTTTAAACGAAAAACCTAATTAATTTGATGCGGAAATGTAGAGCTTGGAAAACGCTAATTAAATACATTCCATTATGTATGAAAAGAACATATGAATCACGCGTTGACATTAACTATCGAAAAAAAATTACCAAGATGAACTAAAGTATTGGCACAGCAATATAGTTCAGCTTTACCCCTTTCTTTTCATCAAACAAAAGTTTTGGCACACTCCATAGAAACACAAGAAAATTATAATAAAATGGTAAAACATTAACGAAATTAATATTTTGTAGCCAAGCCTTTATGTTTGATGATCGCTTCCAAACGCTTTTGCATCGATTAGACCAATTTTTGTGTAGTTTCTGCCCCAAAATTCTGCCATTCCTCTACCATTGCCAGCTTCAACTCTTTTTTTTTTTGTCGCTTTTTGCGCTTTTAACGTACCTATCCAGCTTTTCCACAAATGTTCAATTGGGTTTAGATCAGACGAATGTTTTATATGGTGTGAAAGCCACATATGAACATCATGAGCGGTATGTGTCGGATCATTGTAGTGCTGAAATGTAAATGACTCTGACAATTTAAGTTTTTCGGCACTTTTATCGACATTCCTCTTAAGAACTCCCATACAGTATTTTTTATCCATAATGCCGTCAATGAATTCCAGCTTCCATACTTTAGGTCATCAGTGTATGTATTTTTATGTGTTATTTGATACACTCACAGGTGAAAAAAGATTAAAACCCTTATCAATGGAAGAAAAACCCAAAAATTGGACATGAAATGCGACGAGTATGGGCATTATAAAAGAGTTTTCTGATCAAAAGTAGGGTAGATACACCAGTAACTGGACACTTTTCACTTTGACCATTTATTTTTTATTTATTTCAAAATTTTTTTCTCCTTTATTTTCAAAAGAAGCTTTGAGTTTGCGTGCGTAAAGTGAAGAGCGAAGAAATGCGATTTTACTATCTTTTTCACAATAATTGATGGAAATACTTAATAACAGCTTAAAATTTGTGAAAAAGTTTTTAATTTTTTTTAAATGCACCTGCACGGATACTGGAATGAAAAAAAGGGTGTTTCTCAGAATCGGGACAAAGTTCAGGTTACTAGAAATAGTTAATAACAGCACAATTTTAGTATCGAGACATATTGCTACTTTCGTTCTATATTGAATAATATTTGATTATATTAAAATTTATTTTAGAATGAGTGAAAAAAATACTTTAGAATATATTGAAAAGTGGCGGAGATCTCGCATAAACAAAAACTGGAGTTAGCGCTGAATGATATTCAGACAGAGACGATGAGTATTCCGAAAGCAATTATTTTTTTTCACAAACATTTACGTCAAGCAAGGAAAAAGCAAATATAATTTAATGGATAAAAAATATGGCAAGTGTGGTTTTACTTTAAAAATGGAGAATTTTTTTTTTATTCAGTATACAAATTATAAGGCACAATAAAAGAAAAACTTCATTTAAAGATGGCAGGCCAAGTCAAAAGTGGCTAGCCTTACTTTTTAAATGTGATCCCGGACTTTGTAAGCATAAAACGGAAACGATTAGTACGGGCAAAGCAGTTATTACTGAAAAGGTTATAAGGAATAGGTTCTCGGACATTTAATGGCAATAAAACCAGTCTTTCGCTTAGTCCAAAAGCAGGAAAGGTTATACCGGGTTATGAGAAAGATACAATAACAACATTGATCGTTTTGTCCGCCAACGGTAGCTTCAATCCACCAAAGGTGATATTTATTTACCTTAGACCACCAAAAGACATATCAATACCATTCCTGAAATTAGGTTTTTAGACTGAACATAAAGTGGTTGGATGAAAAGTGAGACTTTCTTGAGGTCTGTGTATATGTATAAGTGGCTGGAAGAGCAAAATATAAAAAGGCCAAAAATTCTACTTGTAGATGGACATATATAAATGGAGCCCATCAATTTCTGTGATTACAAATGTGTTAGTTTGTATGTATTTTGTCTTCCAATAAAACCCATATCATGAAATTTAATACCTAAATATGCAAAATGTGTTGAAAATAATGAAGCACGTGCAAAAGTTATTTTCTTATTATCGAAGTTTTGTGTTTATTTAACTAATTTATTTAAGTATTAAATGAAAAAAATAATAATTTTATGAAACAATTATTTTAGTATTAGATAATGAGTGACCGATTTCTGGAAAAATTGTCCGGTTACTGCCAAATTCTGACTTGCATTAAAAAAATAATAATTTTTATAAAAAAAAATTCAGGCTTTTATATTAAAATGGTTGATATTATATTATATTAGTCCAAAGTATTTTGTAAATGCATGGTTTTTTAATAACACCAATAGAATGTAACACGGGAGAGTTGAACGTAAAAAAAAATTTAAGTGGCCAGTTACTTCATATTCACCCTATATACATATGTATGTATGTATGTATTAATGTTCTTTATATATTTACTTTACGGTAGGTTGATAAGATATCAGTAAATAATTTATGAATTAATTATGTAAATCCAGAATAGAAGCGAACATGTGCATAAGAGGTGCGATCAGAAAATTAACGTTATTTTCTAATCACACGGTCACACCTCGTATAATAGATCTCATTTTTTATCAGTGTTGTCACAAGTCACAACTGCTTAGGTTCTGTATAGAGTTGTATGAATATTTGTGTAAATGGTTGTGCAACTCTGCTGAGTACCTTGAAAACCAAACTCATGCCTTACCATACCCATATGTACATATGCATGTATATGTACATATATATTTAGTATGTGCGTAATTTCATATGGCGAGAATATACATAGATATGTACATATGTATCTAAGTAATTAAATTCTTCTACGTAAAATAAAACATATTGGACAATAACAAAGCTGGATATTGTTTACATCGTGAAAAA